GTTCTCAAATAAATTAGGTAGCATATTTTTTCCTTATCCTATAACTCCCCACCTCTACTTGAAGGCATATGTTGATTTCTACTATCTCACCTTGCCATTGTCTCACTTTGCCTCAATGATGCTTCAATTTGTTTTGGCCTCGTCTCACCACCACATCATTTTGTCAACGTTTTGACTCATTTCACTATTGCCCTATCTTTCAACGACTCTACCTTATCATTGCTTCAATTTGCCACTACCTTGTCTCATTTCTACTTGAATTCATCGATGGTTCAATTCATCCTCACCTCATCTCACCACAGCTCTAGCACACAACCACCTTGTCTCACCACTATCTCCCTCATCTTATCCTCTTCATCTTGGTCTACCTTTATCTCATCTTTCTTCTATTGGTTCCTTGATAATTGAATAAATCAAGAGGAAAGATGAATTGATTTTTTTTATTTGATTAGGTAAATATATATATATTAATATATCAATATATCTCTATGTTAATATATATTTAAAATATTCATATACTAAGTAAAAAAAATCAATAAGAGGTTGTGCACACCGAATTTTAAGATTTTTTGGTTAAATTCTTTTGATCTACACCTTCTTTCAAGGACTCCGCCTTGATTCCATTATTTAATATCTAAAACACATGATTTTATAGAGATCAATAACCTCTTACATTTTCAAACTCCACAAATTTGTGCCCCTCAACCTAGAACCCTAAACTTAGAAGTCTTATGTTTTGTAGTCTTCTTATTATAGACACATTATGTGCCCCAAAGATCTATATGACTGCATTGATGACACATCACAAGTGTCTCAATCAGTCCGCACACTTTAAATCAAAATAAACAAACAAAACACTTAGAACAAAGCTATCATAGCATTCAAATATCATTTTTGTATACCAAGAGTTAATGAAAGAGTTAAGAGGTATTGAGCTGAGGGAGAAAATACTTTAGACTTAAAATGGTGTATGCAACTCTCTTGAAAGAATTAGACCTTGCCCTTAGATCTTGAAGACTTGAGAAGAGTTGATGGAGAGAAAGAATGCATGTTAAAGCAACAACCATATTTTCCCTTTGCCCAAATTTGAGCAAAATCTCCCTTTATGAGGTAAGTTGACTGCCTTCTTTTTGCCTTTATCAGGTCAAACAATTAAGTTAAGGTGGGCCTTAATGGGTTGTGCACAAATTCAGAAATATATAATAAAATAATTTTAAAAATTAAAAATATATAAATTTTTAAATACTTCAAATTTGGATGAGAGGTTCTCAACTTGGATTTCTTTTTGGATCTGCTTTCTATTGATTGGTCATATCATTTATATATATGAGATATTTTCTCATATACAACTTATTTTATTGAGAAAGATCAAGCTTCTCAATCATTTTGCCTCTAAGTGAACATATTAAATCAATAATCTTGAAAATTTAATGAAAATCATTGTCTTGATCATTTTCCTCAAATTTTATTTCATTTTTCTCTTCATTCAAATACATTTTTATTAGTTACTCATATGCTCATATAAGTAAAGCCATTTGATAAATAAAATTTAAATATAAAGCTTACCCATAAGATTATAACATATTTAATTCACATGTATGTTTTAGTACACTTATATACATGATCTAAGAGCTATATCTCTAATAAGAATTCGAAGTAGTTTTTAAAAAAAATATATTGTCTAAGTCTTAGTTCGTTTCTAAAATAATATCCACTCCTTTAATCTCATCCAATACATCAATATATATTAATTTAACATCCCATATTATCACTTTCAAAAATTCATAATAATGTCTAAAAAATTATCAAAGTCACAATTAGTTGATCCATAACTGAATACCTTTAATGATAATTGTGAATATTTCTGGTTTATTAATAATGGTTCTATTATTTTACCCATGTTGTATCTGACATATTAATTGTATGCAAATCTCTTGATGAGATTACAAAGTTGAAAATAAACTTGATTTATACTTATAAATGAAAAAAATTGGTAATAATAAGATATTAAGTATGGAGATTGAAAAGAATCAGTGAAGCAAGAGTGCATTGAGAAGGTATTAACCAAATTCAATTTGATAGAGGCCAAGACTATTAGTACCCCTCAAGCAAATATTTCATAATATCCTTGTAATAGTCTCACAAAACAAATAAAGAGTAACAAGAGATGTTTAATGTATAAATGAGGTTGGTTGTCCAATGAATGTCATGGTATGTAGTATACTTTATTTAACATAGAAAATTAGTGTTATTAATATTTATAAATAACATAATAAAATGATATTAAAATGCTATAAAGTAGATTTGTGTTATCTTAGAAATACATTAGTTGATAAGTTACTATTTTAAGAAATAAAAGATGACGTTCTTATTGGCTATATTAACTTAAATTATGCAAGTAATCTCAATAATAGAACTACGACAAGACATATATTTACTCTTGGCAGAGATCTTCTAGGTTGGAGATCAATAGTATAGATAGTCACACTTTTGTAAAGAAACTTTAAAATAATCAAGTTCTATCTATACACTGGATAGTCAAAAGTGAAATTCTTCTTGCAAAATATATAATTTATCAATCGATAGTATAATATGTTGATGTTTCATTTCATAAATTATGTGAATTTATCTCAAATGATGGCATCTAACTTGTGAAGGTTCCTACTTAAGATACTAATATTTATATTGATATGGTGACAACTCTCTTTAAGACACAAAGATCAAGAAAAAAGGGGTTAGTACTGTTTAAAAAAGTATATATTAATTGTATTAACTAGTTTGATCTAGTCAAAAGTGGAGAATGTTATTATTAACTAGTAAAATTAGTGAGATATTAAATGATATGGGAGAGAACGAATTTGTTATAACAGACCGTTCATCTATTAAAACATACCCACATCTGCGACAAGATACTCTCCTTATCTTTTAACTTCTCTCCCTCACCTCCCTCCACTTCTTATATTTAAAGGGGAGAAGATATGTGTGAGTTATGGAGAGTAGTGAGAGGTGATGAGGATGTGAAAAAAGTTGGGATTTGTGAGAGGAGAAAAAGGCAGTGTTTCGCTCCTCGTTGTTTCGGTCTTTCTTTTCTATTTGAAGAAGAAGGTATTCAACATCAAATTGATGAAAGAGATCTAGACATGTTTACAGAGTCTCTTTTTATTTGTTTTTCCATGAAAGAAATATTTCTAACTCTCTTCATGAATGTAAAAATATTTCTTAGAACCATATAAATCTTCCCATATCACTTCTTAGTGTTTTTTATCTGTACTCAACATTGCAATCTTCATCATATTGACTTTGATATTTTGGACATCCATACTTTCTATGGTGGTATTAATACTATTTTTTCTTTTATTCATAGCAATGACTCTTAACAAGTAGAAAATCTATAAAATTGACATAATTCATATTTTTGTCTATTATTTGTATTGCCTAATTGAGAAACCTTCCTCACACCAGTTCATCTAATGGAGTACCATCCAAATCTGACCTAGTCAATGGTGGATTTTTTAAAAAAATAAAGAGCTCTACTTCAAGAAAATCCTCAACCAAGCTTGAGCAACCCTACTGAGTAGTATACCCCACCTTATTTGAGACCAATTTAGGCATTTGTAAGACGCTCCACAACCCATGATCATTCGATATGACAAGCCTAGTTAATATACCATTTAATCAATACTTTGCAGGCAACTCGACATGTGGGCGGTCTTCTCTGGCCAATGTAGATATAGATCCGACAGGCCAACAACTAGGGCATCCTTCACCGGTTCTCCCTCGCCTTGTCCTGCTGCTCGTCCCTACCGGACCTTCGACGGGGGCCGGGAAGAGTGAGAAAGAGAGAGAGAGAGAATGAATGTGAGCCTCAAGTTTACGGGGCCCGGTGCTCTCAGGGCCACATGTGAGGAATCCTCATTGGGAGTTGATCCCGTCGGGAAGGAGAAGAGAAAGTGAGAGAGAGAAAGAGAGTACCTGGCGATGTTTGGGGGAGAGTTCAGCACTTCGGCGAAGAGCGAGAAACCTTGGACGGAGGTAGAGTAGATCGGACGGCGGAGGATGGCGCCGACACCCTCCCCGGCGGCGACCGACGCCGAGATCTTGGACCTTGTGGCGTCCCATGCATGGGTCTCTGTCTCCCCTCCCTCCACGTGAAGTAGACCAGGGGCGGCCCGCTTTCCACGCACCCCCTCGTCAGCCTTCCCGCCTCCTAGCACCACAGAGAGAAACAGTCAGACAGATAGAGAGATAGAGAGAGAAAGAGAAGGTCGACCCGTGAGGAGGGGGGGAGAAAGGGGGTGGTGGCGAGCTCCCCGCGCCATCTTCCTGCACAGGAAGCTAAAGGCCAATGGAGCGTCACGGGGGATCCCCAAGAGCCGCCACCAACCTCCCCCACCGCCACCTCCGGGCGCCACCAATCCCCACCCCCGCGCCTCCGCCGACCGGCTGGGAGCTCCGAGACAAAGAGGATAAGAAAAAAAAACGAGGAGCATGGCTGGCTTTTGAGAGCAAATCCTGAGCCTATCTTGCCCAGAGAGAGAGAGAGAGAAGGAAGAGAGAGAGAGAGAGAGAGAGAGATAGGAGGGCTGTCTGGGCTCTGTGAGAAGGACGGGAGGGATGAAGTGCACTTTTTCCTGGGAGGAAGGCGACGGATGATGGAGAAGTCATTCTGGGAATGAATGCCGCGCATTCGAGAGGCTCATGAGAAAAGAGTATGGGGGAGGAGGTGACCTTTTTCCACCCCCCAACATCCAACTGCTCTGGGGCTCATTTGACAGGGACAGCCAGACCTATATGCGCTCGACGCGTGGCAAGGAAGCCAGTCACTTAGCGGGGCTCGCTTTCTCTCTGGCCACGTGGCAGGCCAAATAACCGCCCGGTCCTCGCCGCTTAAAAGTCTCCCTCCCTCCTTCCCCTGCAGAACTCCGACGTAGTGACAGAGTGAGAGAGAGGACTTACCGGCAGTGAGGAGGTTCTCGCAGGCGGTGTCGACGGAGGGGAGGATGGGAATGTTGCAGAGAGTCGTCTCCGTCTGGGCGGTTGCCACAGCGCTGTGGCTGGGAGCTCGGGGAGGCGACGGGAGGAGGCATTTCCACAAGAAGCAGAGGGAAGGGCACGCGGACGGCAGCGGCGGCGACGGCGTCGGCGCGGATTCCATCTCGACGCCTCCGGCGAACTCGCCAGCGCAGCCGATAGTCCCGAGTGATCCCTACGATCCAGGCTCCGACGGCCCTTGCATCTTCGACGTGACGTCGTACGGCGCCGCCGGGGACGGTTCCACGGACGACACGGCGGCGTTCCAGGCGGCGTGGAAGGCGGCCTGCGCGGCGGAGGACGCCGTCCTCCTCGTCCCTTCCGATTCCGTCTTCATGATCCGCTCCACGATCTTCTCCGGTCCCTGCCAGCCAGGCCTCGTGTTCCAGGTGAGATCTGCGGCTGCAGCTGGCGATAGCGGCGGTGGATCGAGCTCTCCCGCGTCCTGATCCTGAAACATGAGAGGATTTCGCAGGTGGACGGAGTGTTGATGCCTCCCGATGGGCCGGACTCCTGGCCGGAGTCCGACAGCAAGCGCCAGTGGCTCGTCTTCTACAGGCTCGACGGGATGACTCTGAAGGGGGAAGGAACAGTGGAGGGGAACGGAGAGGGATGGTGGAATCTTCCCTGCAAGCCTCACAGAGTAACCTCCACCACTGACCTCCACTAATCTCCCCCTTCTTCCTCTTCTTCTTCTTCTTCATCTTCTTCTTCCTCTAGCTGCTGATCAGGTTCCTTCTCCCGGCCATGGCAGGGTCCCAATGGGAGCACATTGCCGGGGCCCTGCGACAGCCCCGCGGTAAGTACCTCACGGCTGCTTCCTTCGCTCGCCTCCTCCGACGACGACTGAACCGGGGCTCCTGCTCCTCCTCCGCAGCTGATCAGGTTCTTCCTCAGCTCCAACCTCACGGTGAGAGATCTGCGCGTCGAGAACAGCCCCCAGTTCCACATCAAGTTCGACAACTGCGACGGCGTCCACATCGAGGGCCTCTCCATCAGCTCCCCTGCTCTCAGCCCCAACACCGACGGCATCCACATTGAGAACACGAAGGCGGTCGCCATCTACAACTCCCTCATCAGCAACGGTACCTCCTCCCCTCCAATCTCCTCCTACGTCTGAAAGAGGACTGGATCATCATCCTGATCGCCGGAGTGCGGCGCAGGGGACGACTGCATCTCCATCGGCCCAGGGTGCTCGGGGGTGGACATCGAGAACGTCACCTGCGGGCCCAGCCACGGCATCAGGTAGGCACTAGAGCGGGTGATCAGAGGTCTTCGCGCAGAGCTTCCGAGATCGCCGGGACTGACCCGCCATGGATTGGATCTGCAGCATAGGGAGCTTGGGGGTGCACAACTCGCAGGCCTGCGTGTCCAACATCACGGTGAGGAACTCGGTGATAAGGAACTCCGACAATGGGTTGAGGATCAAGACCTGGCAGGGCGGGATGGGATCCGTCTCTGGCATCGCCTTCGACACGGTGTTCATGGAGAACGTGAGGAACTGCATCATCATCGACCAGTACTACTGCTTCACCAAGGGTTGCAGGAACCAGACCTCGGCGGTGTACGTGACGGACGTCTCCTACGCCAACATCAAGGGGACCTACGACGTGAGGAGCCCGCCGATCCACTTTGCCTGCAGCGACACCGTGCCCTGCACCAACATCACCATGTCGGAGGTCGAGCTGCTGCCATTCAAGGGGGAGCTGCTGGACGACCCCTTCTGCTGGAACGCCTACGGCGCCCTCCAGACCCTCACCATCCCCCCCATCCCCTGCCTGCAAGAGGGCGCTCCCCAGACCCTCCGGGAGAGCCTCGTCTACGGCTGCTGACCATCTCTCTTCTCTTCTTGACCCCTACACAGCACAGAACAAGGCGGAAAATAAGCTCGGGTGGGCCTCCCACCAGGGGATGCATTTGTAAAAGGTAGCCAGACATCCCCCGTTCCATTCCACCTGGTGTTCCCGGCTTCCCAATTTTTGCCATAAATTTCCAGCAAGAAACTCCTCTCCCGAAGTTTCCCTGTGAAAAAGAGATCTGAGGAAAAGGACGATGCGAGCAGTCAGAACGGGCCACAGAGAATGGCGTCCCAGCCAAGAACTCCGATCCACTCCATACATCCACCCAAATCCGCATGCATCCCCGTACATCTCTCCATGTATAGATACATAGATTGATGGCTGAGACCACTGAGTGAGGACAAGGATCAGAGGACCGTTCTTCCGAGATCGCGGATGAATCCACTGTACCAGATGGGAGAAAGCCTAGACGTATCCGATCCCTTCAGCAGAGACGATCAACACATGCCTTTGATTCTCCCTCCTGCTTCGGATCTAGGAAGAGACATGAGAGGCGCAGGGATTTGGGAACCACACCTGACAGCGAGTCTCGTCGTCGATCGGGACGACCAAACCAGGCCGGCCTCGCTCTTCGAGCAACTCTCTTCAGGCACAGAAGAGACAATTGAGACTCCTCCCGTTGAAAAATTATCTGCGGCAGGATCTGAAACGAGATTCTGAGAGGAGATCGGAGAGATTGTCACTAGAACAGCAGCGCGGTTTGCTCTTCGACTAGAACGCAACAGAGCTCCGAAAATCACAGAGCAGCGATCGGGATGCATCAGAGAAGGAGATGACCTGCCAGATCTGCGAATCATGAAGTACGAAACCGCGAACATCGGCGGCGGTGGGGGGGGGGGGGGGGGGCGGCGACGGCGGCGGTGGAGGGGATTGGAAGGGAAGAAGGGTGGGATCTGGCGGAGCCCCCACCACCTCCGCCACCTTCTCCCTTTCGCTCGAGGGATGAGACAGACGACAAATGGAGCCCTGCCACTTCCCGCCTTCTCACCCTCTATATCAGTAAGGGATAGCGGATCCTTATCGGGCCGCAACAGTTCGAAGTCGACATCGTTAATGATTTTAGTCAAAACTTTTGCGTCTAACGAGAAAAAAAAAATGGGACCGCTGACCATGTGGTACCCCTCTCTCTCTCTCTCTCTCTCTCTCTCTCTCTCTCTCTGAGGCCAAGCAGGTGAGTTGGCCCAAGCGTAGATATCGGCGGATCATCCGAACATTTTAGTCAACGATGATCTACCCTAAAATATTCAAGAGAAAATGCATGATGGGTCTTTACTTCCACTTTGAAAAAGATTCGTGGAAGAAAGTTGTTTCTTAGACCCCCATCTGAAAGTTTTAGGGCACCATTTTGTGCATGGTGATGACCGGAACTTGGTTGACCTCGAGCATGCCGCTCATGGCAGATCGAGCGTCGTTTCCATGGCGGGTGTCGAGATAATGGCAGCCGCAGCTTCTATACTACATGTGGAAGCGTTGACTCTGATAAGATGAACCCACATTTGATCTTGGTCAAGAGGAGGGATGCAATGCGCCGAAATTATGACGGATTTTGGGAAGCAGGAAAGAGGTGTTTGATTTAATAAAAAATGCTTTTTTTTACCCGATGTCGTCTCCTTGGGTCTAGAGGGCGATCTCTCCGTCGGCAGGCGGCGGCGGCGGCGGCGGAGGGAGAGGAAGCATGAAGAGGTGGAGCGGAGGGGTAGTCATCGCCCTCCTCGCCGTCCTTCTCTTCGCGAGCTACGCCGCCTACACAGTCTTCATCCCTGCCGCCCCCGCCCCCGCCCCCGTCGCCGCCGCCGCGTTCTTCCCCCAGAAGGAGCTCCGCGGCCATCCCCATCCCAGGAGAAGACCGCATCTCCACCTCCATCTCAGGGGGATCGATGAGCTCTTCCCTGCTCCGTCCAGCGGGAACGGAGATGGGCCGGCGGCGGCGGCGGAGGCTGAAGCGGAAGCCGGGGGAGCCAAAATGGCCTGGTTCCACATGCGGGATCTTCTCCCCCGCTCGGACGCCCTCCCTGAGACCGCCAACGGCGTTAGAGAGGCTGCCGTCGCCTGGAAGGACCTGGTGAGCTCCGTCGCGGCGGAGAGGGTCGCCGCCGCGGCCGCCAGCAGTGGAGGGCCGCCGTCGGAGCTCCCCCAGAGCTGCCCATTCTCCGTCTGGGGGAACCAGACCAACGGCGTCCTTGCGATTCCATGTGGGCTCGTCCAGGATTCCGGCATCACAGTCGTTGGCGTCCCCACCGCCGCCGGCGGGTTTCAGATCGAGCTTGTTGGCTCTGGGCCTCCCGGCGATGACGACCGTCCGGTGGTTCTCCGCTACAGAGTGAGCTTCGGAGGAGGGGACGAAGGCCCTGGGATCTCTCAGAACTCCTGGACTGCGAAAGGAGAATGGGGAGCAGAGGAGAGATGCCCTTCTCTCTCTTCTAGGGTCAATCTTACCGGTGATTGATCAGCTCTTCTCCTGTCCCTTCTTCTTCCCCATCCTGATTTCCCTTGAATGCTGAGCTTTCTGCTGCGATCACTGTGCAGTCGATGGGCTCCTTCGTTGTGGTGAGCTCGCCGGAGGGATTCCGAGGAATTCCAGCTCCAGCAGTCATGGCGGCGAAGCCGGCGACAAATCCAAAGGGAGCTCCTCCGTGAGCATGAACTTTCCATTTGTGGAAGGTCATGCCTTCACTGCAACACTCTGGGCTGGCCTCCAGGGCTTCCACATGACTGTAAATGGGCAGCACGAAACATCTTTCCCTTACAGGGAGGTAAGACTTGCAGGATTAGGGTTTTTAGGGGCTTCTGAAGGTAGAAGAAGGTCAGCTCTCCCTGGTCATACCCAATGAGATGTGCTCTCTGAATGCAGGGACTGGAGCCATGGGTGGTGAGTGAAGTCAGAGTTGCGGGTGACCTGGACCTCCTGTCACTGCTAGCAAATGGGCTCCCTGCTCCCGAGGACGTTGACTTAATTGCTGACATCGACAAGCTTAAAGCTCCTCCAATTCAGCAGAGTAGACTCCTCTTATTTGTCGGCGTCTTCTCAACGGGAAACAACTTCAAGCGGCGCATGGCGCTGAGGAGATCCTGGATGCAGTATGATGCTGTCCGTTCTGGAGAAGTCGCCGTGAGATTCTTCACTGGTCTTGTGAGTAAACCCTCTGACTCAGAGCACTCTTACTGTAAATAACTCTGAGAGAGGCATGATCTGGGCGTTGACTTCGCTGCACTGGTCTGCTCATTTCGCCTACCAGTAGCTTGACAGTTAATTCTTGTTGGATGAGCAGAGAAGATAGCTTCTTTGCTGATTATGTCGATTTTTTTCCACTGGTCAACCGATTTCTTCTGCTGTTAGTTTCGCTGCTAAATCTCAGTGGCACCCTAAGTGCAAAAGCTACCTTCTTTCCACAGAAGTTAGCACCCTAAGGGGGTTTCGTTGACTTCTCTTTTTTCTGGTCAACTGATGTCTACTAATAGTAGTTTGACAGCTTAAGGCATCTGCTGGCTCCTCTGTGGTCAAAGTTCACAGAAGCAGCTTTATAAGTGCATCATCTTTATTATATTTAGGAACAATGTCTTATTATCCCGCATGAAGATATGGGTTACAATATCTTTCCTTATTTGGTAATTTAATCTCCAATCCCGCAGGACAAGACTGGGCAAGTGAATCTCGAGCTATGGAAGGAAGCCCAAACTTATGGGGACATCCAGCTGATGCCATTTGTTGATTACTACAGCTTGATCACCTTGAAAACGATCGCCATCTGCATCTTTGGGGTATCTATTCGATTTTCTTTCGAGACATTATTATTCCATTAGTATGGTTTGCCTGACTGATGGTCCCATCATTATGATCTGGTTTATTTATATAGATGGATATATAAATGAGGGAGTAGTTAATAATGTTTCTGATGGAGATGCTGATCCAGTAGAGAGAGAGAGAGAGAGAGAGAGAGAGAAAGAGAGGGTGGGGAGAGAGAGAGAGAGAGAAAGAGAGGGTGGGGAGAGAGAGAGAGGGAGAGAGAAAGAGAGAGAGAGAGGGAGAGGAGAGTGTGAGAGAGCGAGAGAGAGAGAGGGGAGAGAGAGAGAGAGAGAGAGAGAGAGAGAGAGAGAAAGAGAGGGTGGGGAGAGAGAGAGAGAGAGAAAGAGAGGGTGGGGAGAGAGAGAGAGGGAGAGAGAAAGAGAGAGAGAGAGGGAGAGGAGAGTGTGAGAGAGCGAGAGAGAGAGAGGGGAGAGGGAGAGAGAGAGAGAGAGAGAGAGAGAGAGAGATATATCATGTGGTTCAAATAAAAATGGCCCATTTTTTGGTTTGCAGACCAAAATTGTTCCTGCCAAGTACATTATGAAGACAGATGACGACGCCTTTGTGAGGATTGACGAGGTGATTTCCAGTCTGAGAAAGAGCCGGCGCACGGGTCTCTTGTATGGGCTCATCTCCTTCGACTCCAACCCCCACCGAGACCAGGAAAGCAAGTGGTTCATCAGCGAAGAGGTGGTGGTGCCTACTAGCTGGACCCTTCTCTTCTTTAGTCAACTGGGTTTGACTTTCCGAGCCTCTTGACCTTCAGGAGTGGCCGGACGACTCGTACCCACCATGGGCACACGGTCCAGGGTACATCATCTCCCAAGACATTGCCGAATTTGTGGTCAACGGCCACCAGGGGCTCTCTCTCCAAGTAAGTAAGATTGACCACTCAGATTTCCCATGTTCTTCATTCGGATTTCTTTCCAATTTTGTGATTTCTTTCCAATTCAGAAAAAATCGACATTTTAAGTCTTGTTCTATTTACTATAAATAGAAATTCGGGTTTAAAACATAATTTAAACTGAAAAACGTGTGAGCTAACAAGATGGATCAGATTTCTGATCTTCGCTGACCGGGTCGCCGCCGTCGCAGATGTTCAAGCTGGAGGACGTGGCGATGGGCATCTGGATCGAGGAGTTTAAGAACGCCGGGGGAGAAGTGGCCTACGTCAACGACGACAGGTTCAACAACGCTGGCTGCGAGGACGGCTATGTGCTGGCCCACTACCAGTCCCCGAGGCTGATGCTGTGCCTCTGGGAGAGGCTGCGGGCCGAGCCCGATCCCAAGTCCGGGCCCGAGGCCGAGTTCGAGCCGACCTGCTGCGAGTAGGGGGGGGGGGCACTCCAGGGTTCTTCTACCGGTGAAATTACAGACGTTGGAGTGGCTTCATGAGCTGGGGCTGCCCTCAGGAGATGATGGAAAGCTTCCTAAATCTGGCCATCGACCGACATTCTGAAGGAGCGATGTGTTGCTGTTATTGCAGTGTGTTCCCCCCAAGTGGGTGCTCATTTTGAAGGCCATTCTCAGTGTGTCTCTGTAATTTTCCCTGTTTGGGGAAGTTCTCTGCCCGCCCAATTGGTGATGAAGTTGAGATTTTTTTTGACTTCTTTTGGGCGGGCTGATTCGGGGCGGTGGGTTGCTCTCAAGAAGAAGCAGAGATTTGGGAAGATTTCTGAGAGTGCCAGGATCTCGGGGGATCCACCTGCGAGATTACTGATGAAGTCGGGGCTCGAGAGAGAGCTAAGAATCTATTTGAACCGCGGTTCCCATCTCTCTCTCTCTCTCTCTCTCTCTCTCTCACCCTCTCTCCCTCTCTCTCTCTCTCACCCTCTCTCCCTCCCTCTCTCTCTCTCACCCTCTCTCCCTCCCTCTCTCTCTCTCACCCTCTCTCCCTCCCTCTCTCTCTCCATCGACTTTGATTCAGCGCCTGGCTGTCAACGGACGAGGAGGCTTGTCTGGGAGGTTGTAGAAAGTTCTGAACGCAATGGTAGTCAAGTAAACCGCCTCGATCGTATGTTCGAGCTGGGCCCATAGAGGTTTGACTTTTTGATAGATTCCAGCCGGTAACCGCTTCCCAGCGCCGCCGCCAATGCCGGCACCAGGACCTTCCTTGGTCAACGGTCTTCCCCGTTTTCATTTGCAGTCGATTCTCCTTCTCCAGTCGGTGCTTAGGTAGCTGACAATCTGCGAACATAGATCTCAGGTATAAGGGGAAAAGTACAAGATACCCCCCCAATCTTCAGATACTTTCTTTTCAACCTCTTCCATGGTTACTTGGACAATCAGCGCCATGTTTTGACCACTGTTCTTACCCGAGTGTGGACTTATGTATAATATTCGTATGACGCGGCGTCATTCCCACATTTTTTTATCTATATAAATAATCTTCATGTTATATTATATTAAATATATGCCCTTATATTGCTTGTGAAACTATCATAGAGCTTCATAATATCGTGTCCTAATGTACTATTTATTAAATATATCAAATGTTAATAATATAACATAATATATATATATATATACTCTCTCTCTCTCTCTCTCTCTCTCTCTCTCTAGAGAAGTCATTAAAGATGAAGGGGTGCATATGTGGATTTATATTTTAAAATTGAAGTACCCTCATGTATATCTGTCTTTTCCCTCTCTCGCCCTCACCCTCCCCACACTATTAATAATATGTCCCATGCCCGGGCACCAGGGGGCATTTGTACTATTTAGAAAAGAACAATGCCTGCTGACCAAATTAATTACCGGTCTACTCCATTAAAGCAGAGACTTTCGTAGGTTTATGCGCCTCTCTCTCTCTCTCTCTCAAATCAACTCCATAAAATCACAACGTTAGAGCATACGATTGGAGACTTTACTGGGTTTCTCTCTCTCTTTGCTGCTCTCTCGCTCTCAAATCAACTCCATAAAATCAGCAACGTTGTAACATAAAATTAGAGACTTTACTGCGTTTATGTCTCTCTCTCTCTCTCTCAACCAGTAGCGATACTAGATAGATAGATAGAGAGAGAGAGAGAGAGAGAGAGAGAGAGTTTAGTGGGTTTACCTCTCTCTCTCAAATCAACTCCATAAAATCACACAACATTGTAACATAAAATTAGAGTTTTACTGGGTTTATCTCTCTTCTCTCTCTCTCTCTCGTAAACAGTGCCCACGGTAGATAGATAGATACAGAAAGAGAGAGAGAGAGAGAGAGAAGAGATGTGAACGTATATCAGGACAGGATGGGAATCCACCGAAGCACGGATGGTCGGCCCGGCGACGAAGAGAAACCCTAAACGCCACGGCAGCGCCAGCCTGCCTCCACTACTACCACGACGCCATCAAAACCCTCTCAGCATTACCGACCATTGAATACCATCACGGCATAATCAAAGACGACGTGATTAAGCAATCAGCCAGCCCTCCCTCAATCAATCAACGTCTTCCACGTGTAAAACGCTGACCTATCCGCGTTCGATCGTTCCCCAGTTTGGATAAGCAGCCATGGGGACTTTTGGCAAATACGTGGATTTGATTCCTTGCACACATACTACAGGTTTGGATAAGAGATAGAACGAGCTAGAGAGAGAAAGAGCTAGAGAGAGGTAGCTCCGCTCGTCCTTCTTTATCCACATCCACGACTCGTCATCCCAATTACTAGGAGGACGCGTAGTGGTAGTTCCAGATCAGTTGGTACTGATCTATCTTACATCATGATCATCATTAATCTAGCTGATCCAATGGGGTCAACTAGCTACCCGATCAATCACCTTAAGGAAACCATTATTTTCCATAAAAAGTAATATTTTCCTGAAATATATTTTTTAATAGTTATATACTTTATATAAATTTAAAGATGAAATCTACTTTTTTAGGAAAGCGTCTCAAATAATTTATACTATTATTTTTTTTAAAGTGAAATAATCTTAAAATCTTAAGGCTATTTTTTTGGGAGGGAAGTAAATAAACCGACCGATCCAATCCAAACCTCGGTCAACGGAAGGTCATCCGCAAAAGTAAAACCTAATAAATTCAATGCTGTTATGAGGGTTATTACAGTAAAGTAGCTTTTTGCAGGGGTTTTTCGCTCAATAATCAGTCACAAGGACACGCGCTTCGCACCAGCCGCCGACCTCATGTGACGTCATCTTGAAGTGTGAACAGGGGCAATTGTCACGTTGATTCTCGGGGCTTCCGAAAATTACGAAAATGGGATCCCGTTCTTCCAGAGGTCTCCACACGCGCGAGTCACCTCACCGACCCCACATCCGCCCCCATCGGCTTCTGGGAGGGGTTGCAGGAGGTGACGGTATCTTCTCTCCACACGCCCGTCACCCCACCCCAGCCCGGTCTTCTCACCGCCTCCCTTATCCTTTCCGCTTCGGTCTCCTAAAGGAAAGAATATAATTTTAATTCATAAATATCCCATTTTTAGTTTGAAAAAAAAGAACTTGATGCATAAATATGGAAACTTTTAGTACAGAAGTCAAACTAGAGGGCGCACTTAGAAGCGGGGCCCACCTCAAGAACCCAGCAATCGTCGCCCTTTTTTTCTAAAAAAAAATTCCTTTTTGGGAAATTGATGTAATAATTTTTACATTTATGCCACGACTATGTGTGCCTGGAATCTTAATTTGAAAATTTTTGCCAAATTAAGAATCTGAAGCTATGGAGTTGACTTTTTAAAAGTGGGTCCCATTTTTATGTGGGAATAGAACCGTAGTTGTTGTAGCTGATATCCCAGCCGTTGGATAAAGCCCATGCGGATCGGCTGGTGAGCGACATCCCGTCCGTCGGATTAGGATTACCGCTCGATGACGCTAAGCGACCGCGGAGGAGCCGACCTCATTCCCGATGACGTCATCCCGCCGCGGTGACTGCACACCACGTGGTGCTTCCCTCGGCGCCGCATCATGTCAGCGCAAAGGTTTCCGGCCGACGCGTTTACTCGTACGTGCCGGTTAACCGAGGGACCCACCGGCGGCCGCCGGTTGACTATTCTCACCCCCTTCGTTAAATACTTTCTCCTTCCGCCAGCCGGTCAGTTGTTTAGCGATCCTGGTCGGAGTTTCTCTTAGAGAGAGAAAGAAGAGAGAAGAAGGAAGAGAGAGAGAAGGAGGAGGAGAAGAAGAAAAGAGGGAGAGAAGCCTGGTTTTGAGAAGATCTCTTCTCCACAGGGTAGGGATTTGGGTTTGATCGGAGTGGAGGAATTGGAGAAGAGTAGAGAGGAGGCGGAGATGGTGGCTGAAGCAGAGGTGTTTCACCAGAGCTTGCCGGCGCTGGAAGTCCAGTACCGGCGAAAAGCAAAGGAGGTAGCGGTGGCGGCAACAGCGACGGCGACGGCAGCGCCGCCGGTGATCTTGGAGGAAGTGAGCGCGGCGGCCGAGGTGGAGGTCCTAGCGGTGGCGGCGGACCTTGTGAGTCCCATCTCCCCTCCACCTTCATCCTTTTTCTCCTCCTCCTCCTCCTGGTTTTCAAACCCTAGTGCAGTGGTTTCTCCATCTTCCTTCCCTGTTCTTCCTGTTCTAGGTTTTGGGACTTGTCATCTCCAGGATGGGAGGGATAGGTCTCATCCAATAGGTTTTCTCCAGGCCAATTTTGATTCCCTGTACCAGAGATTCGATCTGTCTCGGTCATGCCAGCGGAGAGGTTTGGAGGATCAGATTAGCGGCGACGGCCTATCGATTTCCTCTGGAAATTCATGGCTGATCTCTCTCCGGGGGTTTCCCCCTTCCCCTTCTCCCTCTTCCGATTCTCGGCAAAGCTAATCGCCCTCTAGATTCCTGCTACGAACCTTCCCTGCAACCAATCATCAGACAATCGTGAACTCCCAAGCCCGCCATCGTTGACTCCGCCCACATTCCCGTGTTCTTCCTCCTTAAATGGGCATTAAATTCCCGGAAGATCTCTCCTAGGGTTTTCAAACTCGGGCGAAAATCTCGAACTCTTATTAACGAAAAAAAATCCAGCGGTGGGGATGGAGATTTGATCGAATTCTGACTTTTTTTTCTTTTTTTTTTTTGGTTGCAGGATCTCAGATCATCGTCGTCGTCAGAGGCCTCGACCACGGCGGCGGAGTTCGTCCCCTTCATCCGCTCCGGCAGCTTCGCCGACGTCGGCCCGAGGAGGTACATGGAGGACGAGCACATCCGCATCGACGATCTCGCCGCCCACATGGGATCCATCTTCAGATGCCCCACTCCCAGCGCCTTCTACGGGGTGAGCAACCGGACCGTTGCGGACCGTCCGCCGCCGACAAGCTCCATAGACTGAAAGCTTCCCCCTCCTCGCAGGTTTTCGACGGTCACGGCGGCGCCGACGCGGCGGAGTACGTGAGGAAGCACGCGGTGAGGCTCTTCTTCGAGGACGTCGACTTCCCGCAGGCTTCACAGGCGGATGAGAGGTTCCTGGAGGAGGTGGCGAGCTCCGTCCGGCGGGCATTCCTCCTCGCCGACGACGCCCTCGCCGAGGACTGCGCCGTCAGCAGATCCTCCGGCACCACCGCTCTTACCGCTCTCGTCTTCGGCAGGTGGGTACTCATCCCCCGATTCTCCATCCATCCATGGCGGAGAATTGCAGGTCTTCTTTCTCTGATCTGCGCTGTATATTTCTGGGCAGGGAGCTGCTGGTGGCGAACGCGGGCGATTGCAGGGCGGTGCTCTGCCGGAAAGGGGAGGCGGTGGAGATGTCTCTGGACCACCGGCCGGTGCGGGCGGCGGAGCGGCGGCGGGTAGAGGAGTGCGGCGGGTACGTCGACGACGGGTACCTCAACGGAGTCCTCTCCGTGACGAGGGCGCTGGGGGACTGGGACATGAAGAAGCCGACGCGGGGGGCGGCGGCGCCGCCGTCGCCGCTGATCGCAGAGCCGGAGTTCCGGCGAGCAGAGCTGACGGAGGACGACGAGTTCCTGATTATCGGCTGCGACGGCATCTGGGACGTGATGACGAGCGAGCACGCCGTCGCCGTCGTGCGGCGGGGGCTGCGGCGGCACGACGACCCGGAGAAGAGCGCGAGGGATCTCGTGATGGAGGCGCTGCAGCTGAAGACCTTCGATAACTTGACGGTGATCGTCATCTGCTTCTCCGCCGAGCACAGGGAGCGTCCGGCGGCGGCAGCGGCGGCGGGTGGTGGCGGCAGGTTGAAGTATTGCAGCCTCTCCGCGGAGGCACTGTGCCAGTTGAAGAGCTGGATATACGACGGGGGCAGCGGGTGAGGGGAGGAAGGGGGAGGAAGAGGGAGGGCCTTCTGCCCCTTCCTCTGCCGCCATTTTTCTTCCTTTCGTTCTCGCTGTGAGATGTGAGTTTTTTGTGTGTACATACCGACGACGGGGCTTTACCCCGTCCGCCCATTGTTTCTTTCAGTCTTGCTTGCTTCCTTCCTCTCTCTCTCTCTCTCTAAAACAGGGGCGATATTAGAACCCATAGTGGGCACTCAGGACTCTCTGTCTCTCTCTAGAACAGTGGCAATAATAGAACACACAGCAGACACTCTGGGCTCTCTGTCTCTCTCTTTCTTGCTCTCTCTTTACTATCTAAAACAGGAGAGATAGTAGAACCCATGGTCGGAACTCAGGACTCTCTCTCTCTCTAAAACAGGGGCAATAATAGAACACGCGGCAGGCACTCAGGGCTCTCTCTCTCTCTCTCTCTCTCTCTCTCTCTCTCTCTTCCTTCTCGCACAAAGGTGCGTTTTCTACACAATTTACTCGGCCTATGGGAATTACCTGAAGCCTACTTGGGTCAGCGGCCCAATCCAAGAAGAGGAATTACCTGGAGGATTCAAAAAGGATGAGCTGATTTCTTTTCTACAAGTCAGAAGAAGCTGGATTACTAAAATTAGAAAGGCATAATCAAAAAATCTAATCAGCTTACGAGCTGAGGAAACCCTAAAATAGAATTCTGAGGATCCCAACACAAAGCACCACCGGTCATAATATAGACAAGATCCAGATGAAATCACACCTCTGCATTACCCATAGAACGCCAGTTTTTTTTTTTTATTCTACTACATTTCTGCTGTTGCTCCTCCTGAACCTATTTTTTTTTCTCAAAAATTTCCCTTTTTTAAGGGGAAATTTTTATGTCAATAATTCAAGAGTATTTTAATATAAAAAAATAAGTTTTTATGACAAGAAAACCCTCACAATTCCTCACAAGAACTGAAAATGATGCTTTCTGCAGAGCATCAGATTCTGAACAAGATCACTGGAGGCGCTTAAGACATTCCATTAGGGCATCCGTGTGCTCAGGCTTCCCTACAGATACCCGGACATAACCCCTCAGCTCCTTGTTATTGTAATGACGGATCATCACGCCCATTTGTGCAAGATCTTCCTGAAATAGATGGCGAGTGTGGCCGATCAGTAAAAAAAATTCAGAAAAAAAAACAGTTTCCAGGTTCCCATCAATAAAATTTGCTTGATTTGGAAAAAAAAAAAGAAAACTGCAATTTTTCATGTTACCATGAAGAAATAAATGGCGATAGAAAGAACTGTAAAAGAAAATAGTTTCCGGGTTCTCATGAACCAAAATTCCATGATCAGATAAAAACCCACAGTTTTTTAGGTTATATAACCATTTAAGAAAAAGCTTTTCTCGTGGCAGATTATGATCTTCATGAAGAAATAGAAGGCGAGAGAGAGTAGCAAATCAATAGAAAATCCTAGGAAAAAAATAGTTTCCAGGTTCCCATCAACCAAATTTGCTTGATTTAGAAAAGAAAAAAAAAAAAGAAAACCACAATTTTTCATGTTACCAAAATTCTCTTGATCTGAGAAAAACCCACCGAGTTTGTGAAGCCACAGAACCATTTCAAAAAATTCAAAGGGTACACAATGTTTACCCACAACCAGGCATTCTAGAACAGAAATCAAACGCCTCTCGCCTCATCCCTTCTCCCCCGATTTGCACAAAACCCAAAAGTCAACAGGTAAGTCAAAGCGCTCCCAATACTTTCCTTTAGTACTATTTTCTGCATCATCTGCCCGCTTATTTTTGCAGTGAGACCTCGATCTATATTTCTTTCCCAGGAAAGGGAAAAAAAAATGATTAATGGTGACTCATCATCACATCTGTTTAGCCTCATGTTGACCTTCATTCTATATTAAATGCAATCACCAGCTCCTTAGCTCTCAAAACCACAGTAAACTGAGAATCTAACGGGATAACAATGGCAGCAAACTAGATTAATTACCTTGAGCTTTTTAGCGTCCTTTCCGGAGGTGACTTCACAGAGAATGAAATTGGAGAAGCTCGGAAATGGCTTCAAGAAGGGCACCTCATCCAGAAGCCTAAACAGCCTCTCTCTTTCATCCACGAGGGAATCTTTCACCCTCTGAGTGAGAGATAGCGACAGCATTAGTGCGAAATCAGGAACCCAGTTGAGATCAATGCCAGAGGTTTCCATTGAGTACCTCTAAGTAGGCTGGATTCTGCAGAGCTGCACACGCAGAGACCTCGGCAGCAACGGAGACGTTATATGGCTGCTTTGCGCGCCACAAATAGGGAATGATGCTGAGAGGGAACGCTCCATATCCCACACGGAGTCCAGCTAAACCTGTGAGGAAATAGCCATCTAATGAGTTCTTGGAATTCCTGGAGAACAGTGGGAAGGGAGCATGTGAGGGACTATGTAACACTGATTAGATGAAATAATCAATGTGGGCAGGATTTAAAATAGCAGTAAACTAAGATTTATTCTGAGAGCATCGAAAAACAGGGGAATATTTACTGGTTTTGGTAACTTTTGGAAGGGGGTAATCGGAAATCGGGCGTGGATAAGATAGAACAAATTAGGATCATGTGCATTACTTACACACACATCAAAGCTAAATAGTGGACTAAAACCATATTCCTTTCTCACATCTAAAAAAAAAAGAGAAACAACAGCAACTAACGATCAAATGATTGAAAGGCATAATAGTATCAGCTGACCTGCTCTCTTGCTGAAAGTCCTGAGGACGATCAAATTTTCATGCTTCTTCACCCATCCCATCCTAGATTCCAAGCCAGAGAATTCAATATATGCTTCGTCCAGCACAACCAATACAGGCAGATTAAGAACCTTCAACAGATCCTCGTCATTAATAACACTGTGGAAAAAAATTCAAAAGGGTAATGAGGACATAAAGGTGCCAATAAAATTCTAAGCATCAATTCATTCAGAAGCTTTCGATTTCGGGTTCCCTTTAGATAAATCTTATACTGAGATAGCACACCTTCCGTCTGGGTTGTTAGGAGAAGTCAAAAAGATACACTTCGGCTTTTCCCGTTCAGCAGCTTCTACAATGCGGGGAACATCAAGAGAAAAATCTGACCTCCTTGGAACTAAATGAAGGTCACAATGTTAGTCATCTCGTAAATGTGATACTGACGCATAAAGGGTTCAAAATATTCATAGTTGGAATGTACACTATTCTGAAGAAGAAACCGTGACTGTTCTTTAAGTGTAGGGCTACTAGCTGATGATAAAAGGGTTATTTGAAAAGAAACACAAATAATCTCTCCTTTAAAACATATGATACTGAAGAAAAGTATAATTGACCGCCAGCCAGTAATTTTTTTTTAGCGTAGATAAGAAGAACATGAAGCAAAAGACAATTATTGTTGACATAATCAGTAGTACCCCTTCTGAAGACTTCTTGTCACAAAAAAATAAAATTGTACTATGTTATATTGTTGCTTTTCTGACTTGAAATCAGACCCGCAGGCCAGGCCTCAAGCTTCACTGCTATGTGAAATACTATCTGAAGTAAGCCGATGTGCAGCGGACATGGGTTGAGAAACTCCCATTCATGTCGTGAAGAAACAAGATACAGCTCAATTCCTCACATGCATGTTTCCAGCTCCATCAAGTGGGATAAGAAACAGTTGAGTGAAGGATGAAGATGGGAAAAACAGAACACTCCATTGCCATCTACCACAATCTGCCACAGACTGTCATTCCCTACCCAAGCCTGTCATGGGTTGCTGCAACCAGCTGAAATTCACAGTGGGCCGTCAAGGCAAAAGAAAGACCATAATGGCCTAAAGCAGCTTGCCTAATCAATGAAAGAGTGGCCATCACTCACAGATTATTTTGCTTAAAATAATCTGAAATTGCACTATTTCTAATATTCTTAACTTAGGCGTAATCTTTTTAGAAATATATTTTTTACCTAAATTTTGTCTAATCCTTTTTATAAACACCGAAGAAAAAGGATAAGTCCGAAAAACTAAATTACGCTTAAATATTTCCAACTTTTGAAATATAAATATTGTTCAATTTTAAAATTCAATCTTCCACACCATCTTATATTTTCAAGATAGTTTTATGTAATTTGTGTTATAGATCCTGGTAGATATATAATAATACATTTCAAAGATACATGACGCTATTTTTGGAGATTTACCTATGTCCATGTCCCACATGCCAAGGGGATTGGTACTCCATAAATACTGGTGCGCACATAATGGTTTAGTGGGAAACAATAACTCGGTAAATCAGAAGAGTATCCATTGGCCAGGCCAGTTTGGAAACCTGACCTGGTCCAGGTGGTCTGGACTCCGGCCAAGAAAATAATGTTGGACAGAAAGTTTGGTTCGACCCAGCATAGAAATCTCAGAAACCTGGAAGAGCACAGCCTCCTCCATGTAATGGGCTGGTGGGCAGTCCACACATGCTGCGTGACAGCCCACTGGCCCATGATATGGTGGCTCCATTACAGCAACGGACAGTACCCTGACCCCTCCTGAATCCTGCCGCCCACATTACATCCTAAACCACGCATCAGAAAAACTGGCCCAATCCTGAAGAATTCTCTAGGCCAGGTACCTTAGCCCGGTTCTCAGATGTCTCTTCAGACCCAGCACAGACCCAAAATTTCAGCCATTGCGTTTGTTCGTCATTGGTCATGGATCCAATATAAACCAAAAAAAACTACCCTAAACCTGCTAAGCCTAAATCAATGGCAGGAAAGGAATTAAATTTTTGATCAATTATTTGTCCCAACATAAACAATATGGTATTTTCTAAGAGGAAGAAATGGACATACCCTTGACGACCAAGGCACAATTTACTGCTGCATCGAATTCGTACATTGTAAATGTGGGGGGGCAGTCCAAAATTTTGTCACCTGGATCAAGTACACATCTGTGGTACCTCAAGTAAGAACATTTAGAATATGACAACGAATTCGGCAGCACATTTCAATTGAAGACGAAAAGCATATTAGTCAGCTCCAACCTCATGATCAGATCAATCAATTCATCTGCACCACACCCTGCGAGTATATATTCAGCATCAAGGCCTGAATCTTCAGCAAGTGCAGCACGCAGGCGGCGACTCTCAGGGTCGGGATAAATATATGGGAATTTCATTGTTCCCAAGGCTTCAGCCACCTACATATGATCTAGAGTATAAATTTAGAGGCAAACATATCCTAATCCAATTACAACCTTTAATTTTCAGTAAAGTAATTACCCATCAACTATCAGTTCAAAGTACAGGTTCAGACTACCATCAACCAAATTAGGTATACATGTCGTTGAAAAAATAACAACGTACATTTCTTCGTTCTTTAATGAATTTTAGATGTATTATGAAACCAAGGTTCTTCAACAAAGTTTTTCCTTTCTCAATAACACCGTTACTAAAATTTTATCTGTGCACTCATTTGTGACATTTTTTCTTTCCCTTCACTGTACTTCGGAAAAATAAAGTTGAAACTTCACCACGTCTGAAACAAAAATCAGAGCTACCGATTTTATCAATTGACAAGGATGTCAGGAAAGTATTTCTTTTGACTAAAGGCAATAATTCATTTCTACTAGGCACATTTATTCCAATACAGAGACCACCTGTTCTAAAGAGCCCCAGCCTAGAAAAAAGACAGCGAAAGCAAGAGGCTATTATGTGAACCCATCTAAAACACTAGTTGCGCCCCACCCCCCCCCAGCCCCTCCTATCCCCCAACCCTGCGCCAATATGGCACAATTGCATCTCAACCCATAAACGAATTCGGCAGCTCCAATCTAGCGAGAAGTTGAATTCGAACAGTACTATGAACCATAATATTTCCAACAATTTGAATTGAAGATAAAACAACTCGTTGATTTCAATGAGCTTAAAATGAGCCAGAAAATTCGGAAAGAAAAATCCACGTAGCTGAAGACGTCATTAAAACCTGTGAATAATCAAAGAAGCTCATCTTGCCTCAGGGGGAGGACCATATGGATTTTCATTTGCGTCAAGTTTGATGATATCTTCAGGCTTTCTTCCAAGTCGTGTTGATAACACCTAGCAAGAATATTGAGAAGTATCAATGATAAAATCTACAAATGTCTTTCAACGCAATCTGGTATTGTGATAGATTTATGATAAAAAATTGAAAATATACATATTTTAAGATATGTGAGTGATTAAATTCAAAATCAAATATACAATTATCCTTCGTGGTTGATCAACAATCGGTCTCAATCAAGATTTTAGTACTAAGCAAGTTAAAAATAATAATTCACCCAAAAGAGTCAAATCCAGATACACACAGTCACTTTTGCCCTCTGTATGAAAGAACTCTGTCAGAGGTCCCCTCTTTCTCCAACTGATTTGCTTCCTCAGTCCCTGCCTTAAAGGATTAGGGAGGAGGAGAAGGGAACATCACCATGCTTCTCCCAGATGCTCGAATAACGAGTTCCTATATTCGACTTGAATGTTTCAAAATATCAATGCCTGAACATCACCATGCTTCTCGTACTTTCGTACAAGTCATCTTTTACTCTTTCTTAAAAGCTTACCCAACACAGAAACACGAAAGAGGACATACAAAAACTATAAAACCTGATAAAGACAACAGACCCAAGGATATGGAAAAGGGAGAGCCGATCTACGGACAGAGCCTAATGTGGGACATAAAACCCACCAATCATACAGAACATTTCATGTGCTCTCTTGTCGCAAGAATAGAAAGGGTAATGATTCAGTAGGGAGTTGAAATGAAATGAACTAATTCTGAACTGTACTTCATCAGATTGCGCTGATCAAGCTTTGCTTATTGATGCCCTGGCATGTAAGTAAGGAGATGGGGAAGTGCAACAATTGCTTGAGCTGAAAATGGGAAGGCCTGGTAAAGTAGGCCATCAGGAATATACGAGCTCTTGGTAACTATTACGGATAAAGAAGGCCATCAGAGGAATGGCAGCCATTGTAAGGTATTCTAACTGGTTATAAGTTTTCCAATTCAGAGAACAAAGGCCGGGGTGATGGTCTGGTTTACTCTCGAGGATGTGCACAGATGGCAGACAAGAAGAAGAACCGACAGCTCCCTATGTAGACTACCATTGGATGGGGCTGAGTTAAAATAAAGGACAATAGAGAGAGAAATCTCGCATCCAGATATAAATTTACCAAGAACAAACAACAATGACGCATACATTGAATTATCTCTGTTCAATGTGGAGAAAACTGTTTGGCCTTATAAGAAAGGGAGACTTTACGACAAATAGAAAGTATCCAAGCATGTTGGGGTACCTCGAAGGGCAAGATAGGCTGGTACGGCGACAGCTTTCTCAGGTGATGACGGATGAATGAGTCGCCGGTCAACCCGCAGCCGGGGCCTCCTCTCCCGTCGGGCTGCTGCTGCTCCCGCTCTGTTGTCGTCGTCGGCGAAGCCATGCAAGTCCTGTGCCCTCCGCGCCCCAACCCAGACCTCAGACAGGTCTTCGCAACACCCGGAGGGAATGCGCCGGAGACTCCAATCGCGCCCATCGAAAGCCGCGGTATCGGAATCAATGGCTCGCACCAGACTTCCACCCAGAAGAGCCCCTCCACAAACAGGAAGGCCACTGGAGGGGGGAAGAGACCGAAAACCCTAATTTTCCAACGGTCATCCCTCTGATCCCTAAATCCGATTTGTCGCGATCACCATTACTCTCAAAATTTGCAGAACAATCCCAAGACTCTTCGTTATGAATCCCTGTTAACCTATTTAATCACAAAAATGTCTTCTAAAATAACGAATATCAGATAATACTCTCAAGGACATGGGGGGCTCAAAACTTTGGCACCAATAGCCCACCTTTCACTCAGTTAATTATCAAGTGACCATGAGGTCTCGACTTTATCTTTCAGGTCCCTAAACTCTTCCAATTTCTTATTCTAAGCAGACAGAGTGGACAACTAGAGAGAGAGAGAGAGAGAGAGAGAGAGAGGGCAAGAGAGAGAAAGAGAGAGAGAGGAGAGAGAAAGAAAGAGAAAGAGAGAGAGAGAGAGAAAGCGAGAGAGAGAGAGAGAGTCATCGGAGTCGCTGGTAAGATAGATCAGCTTGAAGAGCTGTTTTGGGGTGAGTGGAAGGGGGTAATTAGAAAAAACTTTCAAGCTAAATTTAGCCATAGCATGTGCACAATAGTGAAGAGGGTTTGTACTTTGTATAGGTTATTTCTAATATTTATTAATTATATAATATTTTTCATAGATTAACTAGCGTGAGGTATGGGTGTTGTAGGGAAAAGCATCAACCTTCTCAAGCTCCTATCCCCATTCATACAGTTCACTCATGACCCCTGCACAACCAATCATTGATAAGAGAGAGAGAGAGAGCTGACAAATAAGTCAACGTTGCCAAGATCAGAAAAATCATGCGATAATAGCTCCAAACTATCATTTTCAATTTACACATTTAAACCCCAATATGATGAAGGGAGCGTGCTCTCTCTCTCTCTCTCTCTCTCTCTCTCTCTCTCTCTCTCTCTCATGGGCATCAAAAAAATTCAAAAATGGAATGGACCCAATGAATAGGCAAGACCTACCACTGTTACCAATGAAACCATCTAACGCTTACCATCGGAAGAATCTTCGAAATATATAATAACTAAAAGCGATCTAACAGCATCCAAGAGAGAGAGAGAGAGAGAGAGAGAGAGTTCTTCTCAAAAACTCACATGGAGTTCTCACGCAGGTACAAACCGTATTCGGGGAAGGTGTTCAAGACTCCGGCGATAAGCTGGGGAGGCAAGAGGCGCTGCGCCGGGACCAACACCTGCTGGTTCCTCTCAACCAGGGAGAAGACCTCTCTCTCCACATCCAATCCACCCAGGGCACCTACAACAAAATCCACCCGCCACTGAGGATTATAACCAACAACTTACTATAACTAGAAAAATCATCTTGAATGGGTAACCCAACAAAAAAAAAAAAAAACACAGAGGGGACGACATTCAAGTATCAAAATATTACCCACCATATGAACAAGATCGCTCCTTTTATCGACTACTAGCACAAGATTTCTTGGCAATCCGTACGGATCAAGAAAAATAAAGCTACTGGAAAAAAAAAATGGAAATCACCCGAGGAAGTAAATAATTTGTCGAGTCAGAAGATTTACCCAGCTCAAGCTCTTGGGCTTCATCTTCTGCATCACCTTCTTCAAGCACCTCACTCTCAACCGCAGCGGCCGCCTTTGCATATCTGTCCAAGAACTCTTCCTCGGTCTCCTCATGCTCGTCGTCCTCAGAGTCCTGTTTCAGCTCAAAATTTTTGTCACTAAATGCAAAATTACTATATATGTAAGCAATGAAAATATTATGCTCACCTCGTCAATGTCTTCACTTGAATAGTCATCGCCTTCCTCCTGGTCGTCATCGTCATCGTCATCGTCATCGCCACCTTCTTCCTGAGTTTCTTTCAGCCTCACTGATGCCTCCATCAGCGAGACAAAGCAGTCCCGCAGCACAGCAGTGCCCATATCCAGACCAGACCGCAGTAATCTCTCAACCACCTTGGTCAGAGCGACCACTGGACATGCCGCGCAGTAGTCACTCAGAAGGTCTGCAAGCAACAGAGAGAGAGAGAGAGAGAGAGAGAGAGAGAGAGAGGGGAGCTCACCAGCTAGCTTCAGCTCGGACTCTGAGGCCAGGCCAAGCTCAAACGAGCTATTCGACATGTGCGCCAAGGCACCGGCCCAGGCAATATAGCCATTCTCCTCAGTGCCCTGTAGAGCTTCTTCAACAGTATCTGGATAGCACAAGTAGCACGAAGAAACCGCCAGCAGCAGAGGCTTCCATAATGAGGGGGACTTGTCGCGGATGCTCACAAAGAAAGAAAACGCTGCTTTGGCGAAGGAGAGAGCCAACGCCCGCTTGATGCTCTCACTCTCCAGAGAGAATCTTGGGACGTGTAGCAGTAGGTGCACAGATGAGCAGGCCCTCCTCGTTGCAGATGGGTAGGCAGCGATAGCCCTGCTGACAAAGGCCCCGATGCCCTCGATGACTGAGCGCGGGGCAGTAGAAGGCAGAGCATGCGGAGGCATCGTCCTCATGAAGAAACTCTGGTCCTCGTGCTTCTTGTGCACAAGGACGGCTTCCTTGATGGAGCTGAAGATTTTGAAGTCCTCCAGTTCTTCCCACGCATCATATTCTGCAATGAGGCTCGCCCAGACTACCAATAAATCAGCAATTCTCAGCTCTCCCACATCTTTCATTGCTTGAATAGAGCGGAAGATGAAGCCCAGCAATGCAGACGTGTCGTCTATGCACGACGGAGGTGGCAGATTGCCGGAATGCTCGCCAACCTGAACAAGTGAGAGGAAGAAGAAAATAGTAAAGCAAATAGGGTAGGTGTCAATGGGCCGGGTTGGCCTGCAGGTCGGATTGGCCTGGTTAAGTTCTCTCCAATCTTAGGATCCAAGAAGTTGGAGGCTCAGGGAGATTTCTGCCAGGGTTTGGGCTCATATTGGGCTCATATCGGTTGATCCCACAACACGCTCTTTCCCATTTCAGCCATGCTCTCTGGCTCATCTGGCTTTCCAGCACCTCTTCCCCCGGCTGGCTCTCGCCCATCTCCATCTAATAAAACACATCACCCTATTTGGCGCGCCACACGACCAGACTTACAAGAACCATGCTGTCCTGGCCTTGTCTTACGCATTTAATCAATAAAATAATTTAATTTATTCAGAGGATGGAAAGCTGCACAAGGGCGAACCTTTGCTTGTAATGGTGTCAGCCAAGCCTTTTGTAACAAGTTTGAGAAGGATGTAGCGATGGTAGCGCAACCAAGCTGCGCTTCGTTTAGTTTGTCTTGATTGGCTTCATCGAGCGCGTAGTCCTCCCAAGTTTGTGCAATCACAGCTAAGCTAGCGAATCCATGCTCAACTATCTAACAAGAAAAACTAGCATCATGTTACAAATCGGTGAAAAATTGTTCTTGATTCTCACTCGCTAAAACTTTCTGATCCGCTGAAACTACGATCTCAAAGTCATGAAATGGTAAAAGCGGTCAGAAATACAGAACACATGAAAAATGGCGAGTACCTGCGGCCATGGCTCAAGAGTAGGAACCAAGTGCTTTAGAAGAGTGCCGACAATGATTGACACAATCATAGGGATGTGGATAGAAACATGTTGTTGACCGACTCCGACAATTGTGCTTAGAAGTTGAAATAATAAGGAGGCCTCATTTTCATCTGCCACATGCAGCCTTGTGGCCAGGACTTCTAAGAGAGGGAACCAGTCAAGTGGAAGATAATCATTATGCCAAGAGGTATGGTTAGATGATACAAAACAATAGGCACAGTCCAGTCCGAATGATTAGTATGACATTTCTTACCTCGAGCATCTGTGCGATGGCCCCAGCAGATGAAGCACGCACTGGATAATAAGAACAATCTTCTTGATCTGGCATGACCAATGCCTTGGCCAACGAATTATAAATGTCGTCATTCATCTCCTGAAAAATATCCAACCATACGTGAAAATACTGCCATTAGTAAGCTATGCCACTGCAGTTCATCCATTATCAAGGCTAATAGATTTTAGAATGCTAAACTTCGGACAAATTAGTACACATTTATTGGCTTATAATGATCTATATCTAAATAAAGAATATAGCAAGTTGCCAAAGTAGATGAGAAAATTTTCCTCTTTTTACTAATTTTCATGTTTACTCATAGATGATCTAAACCACTACATCCTCGATCAGAGATGATTTTATTTCTAAAAAGAGTTTAACTAACAGCGGCACTGACAATATTCCTAGAATTCACAAGGCCAGTCTTCGTATGGAAAAAAAAGTGAGAGAAAATGCAGTAGTATTTCTGTAGCTATTATGGAGAAAAATGCCGTTGAGAAAGTGAGAGAAGAAACCTGCGGTAAGCATGATGCAAGCTCACCAATAACCCAATTTGCTGTAGCTATTAAATAAGGAAGGCAACCAGATAACGAATATAGTGGCAGGATGCGCTTTTGGATCAAGCTCGTTGTATATGCCGGATTTCTCTCCTTCAAGAACTGCAGTTTCCCAACATTGAGTCAGTGCTCAGCAATTGTTTTCCAGCATCATCTAAGCGAAAATAGTCCCATAAGAAATAAAATTGTTCCTTACATCCTGAAGGCCCCCATATGCCATCAAAACTCCATAATAACTGCACACATTAGAAACTTCATTTTAAAGTTAACATACAGTGAATTCCCAAAAGAAAATTTGATACTTTTTTATTTATTCATTCGTTTCCAAGACATTGAAGTTGTAGCCACAGTTCCTAGCTAGGAAACGAATCATTAGCTCCACTGAAACTCACTCGTATGAACTTTGCACGCCAAGGGCAGTTGATGGAAGAGGAAACTTGGATAAAAATGGTATAATCAGTAACTCTCCCACAGAGGAACGCTTATCTTTTCTTTTATTCTTCTCCCCTTTCTTGCGTTTTATTGAAGCAGCGGAATCATTACCAGTGGAAACCATTGGTGGACCCTGAGATACAGAAAGGCAAAACTGACCTTTACAACAGATGCCAACCATGGCGTGCAATACCATTATACTTTCTAAACAATTAGAAACTCACTTGTTAGGGGAAATCTAACCTTTGACAATGCCATGACACCGAGCAAGTTCACTGCACTTTTTCTAGCAGTAAACAAATCCTCTGTCCAAGCTGAAATTTCCTGCAAGGTATATCCATCCATACATATCAAAGGAAATTCAAGTAGATCAACAGACAGAAAAACTTGGCTGCAGAATATGTGGCAATGAAGCAAAGATACATACAAGATCAGATGGATGATTCTTCCTCATGTATTCTTCATGGTCCTCTTCCCATTCAGATATATCCTTAAAATAAAAAATAAAAAAATTGAAACTCCTTGACAGAGCATAAAAGAATGCTAACCCTGAAACAGTTGGAAATCTCAATATGACCAATGCATGGCACTCAAAAGTTACAATTCACGATGTAAAAGGTGTAAATGGTGTCATAAATTGTATGGTACAGAACTAGAATCACGAGCAGGTTTGTCACAGTACATTAGCTTGAAATTCAATATCTATTTATTATGTCAGATAAGGTGCGAAATTCCGAGTGACAGTTACTCATAGGTCTTGAAGATATACTCTCAAAGTAGTATTCTATTCTCGTGGTATTACGACCTCTTTTAATTCTTCGTTCTTACTTTGCACGGAAGCGAATGAGAGGATGAGATATAAGAACAAGAAAGAAAAAGGAAAGATAAAAAGGAAGAAAAAGCAAGCACAAGAATTAGCATAGTGCTGCAGCAAGTTCAGATTGTAGCATGTCTGGGGAGCATAGGTCAGAGCGTGGAGTTTTTTTTTTCCCACATTCGCGGCAGTTCTTCTATTGGTGCTGGTGCTGTGGGTCTGCAACAGCAGCAGAGCTCTCACCGTCTCTATTTTCTCTTGTTAACTTTTTACACCACTATGACATAAATGTTCACCCACACGGGTGAAAATAATGTAAACAACCTGACCCAGACTTGGTAAAACACAGCAAAATTTGATGACATTGTCGCTGATTGCATCAACTTAGCTGACTCGGGTTGTGTCTGATGACACAATAAACGAACTGACAATTTTATTTCCTATTTTAATAACATAAAATTTAAACCAGAAGAAGAGTAAAAAAATGTTTTGAATCGACAAACTCACCTAGAATCATCATAGATGTAGAAGACGAAAAGAAATCGTATGATTTTCACCCATTATCATCATCAAAGTATCACCTACTACCATCACTACACACCACCGTCCACTAGACATTGTGACTATCGCCGTTACTTAGAAACATCACTATTCTATTAACTTACCACAACACACTACATCCTACCACTACTGTCCATCGACCACCAGCAACATGCTATCAATTGCAGTCATAGGCACCTACATGTTGAAGCCCACTGTCCATCATTACCACAACTGTCAACCAGTCATCCCTTTGATCTGCTCCTCCGAGCTTAAAAATCAATTTTCAGCAAGAGGATTGATGTATTCAAGGTTTACCTGGTCCCAAAATCAAAATGTCAGAGACTCTCAGCATCATAGAAAAACAGGCGACGCTGTTGCCCATAGTGAGTTTGCCGAGTTACGACATTCTTAACCCACGAGCATAAACAATATTCTTTCCCAAATTCTGAGAGACTTCTCCGAAGTAATATAATAAGCCTATTTTAAAGAAGATGCGGCAAAGTTCACCTTCTCATTCAACACTAATGCAGGGAAGATTGCAGACTCCAGTAGTGTTGAAAAATGGGGCGAAACTAACCTCCATCCCTGTAGACATCATCCATCAACACAGATATTACATAACTCAGATAAATTTATACAAAATTCAGATATTGACTTATGACTTAGGCCGCCTATGATTCATAGGATGAAAACATTGATACTGATGAAATAACCTATTCACATGCAGAGGGATCAGGATTCGAGAGATCGGGATCCTTTAGGGTGAAACGGAAAAAGTGGCTTACGATTCGTGAGAAGGACCCTCTAAAGACTACAAATGGGTTCGTAGAATCCACTGAAGATGCAATAGGTATTTGTGATCGATCAGCTTCCTGTATGACTGAAGACTTTCTATCTGCATCCATAATAACAACACAATCTGGTTGTTGGTTCGACCCGAAATTGATCTTCTTGTTTCTCCAACGGATTTTTTTTGGACTTGAACAATTGGTCAAAAAACTACCGATCCTCCATTGAGAATCATTGATACAGTTAGTCGCCATTTGTTCCATTATCTCATCTTTAAATAAATGATTGGTCTTTAAAAAGAAGGAACGGCCTTTTTAACGAATGGGAGATCCTATAAACAAATCAGTGTCTTGTCTGAATCGTAAATAGCAATTCCATTTCTTGAACCACAGATATAGACTTTGAAATGATGAGCAGCTACCCGACGGCCTGATGTGCGTTCGTACTCAGTAATTTTTGAATAACTATCTGGCCTTACTTTAGTATCCCGAGATTGAAGAGATGGAATTCCTCCCGGGAACACACGAAACAAAGATATGAACTGGGTAAATGGAAATGGAAAAGAGATGTTTCCAATTCCTCAGTGTGATCTTGATAAATGCGTGAGTATTACAGGGTGAGAAAAGAATGAGTTAAGAAGACTGGTCACAAATCACGAAGAAATTGGAAGGACAGATGGAAATTATTGTTTCAGTAAGAAGGAAATGAATCATTAACAACTTATCAGTACATGCTATAAACAGTTCACAGAGCAGGGTATGAAGGTGCTATTTCCAAGAAACTATATGGAATGCCAATGGAGAAGGCTTGTATACGAATAAGTAGATGAATGGAAGGGAGAAGTTCATTGCTGATTCTATGGACAGCAAGTGCATGGTTGGCGGGTTGATTAACTCGAGTATTGAAGAAGAGAATGCACTACAGAAATAAAAAACCCACCAGCAGAGAGAAGGCCCTTAGTGTGAAGAGAAAGAGCAAGAGCTAAGCCTCCAGGGAAGGCACAATAAGGTCCAAGCCCTAGCTATCTTGATCATCAATGGCAAAGACGTGATCAATGCTTTTCTTATGCAAACAATTGGAAACGTATCTTATGCAACAATATGAGGACTGTTTTCAAATCGCACAATAATGGAGATGCTCCAACTGCATTATCTGGGTATGGAAGTTGGTAATAGATAATGGCTTGCATCTAGATAAGCTATACGTGTTTAGACCAGCAAAAAAAGCAAGTGTCGACAGAATAAGAGTGGTGAAGTTTAAACGGTACGGATAGTGTGGAAAGTGAAATAGAATTTTTCAGACATTTCCATGTAGACAGGTGGGGTAGAACTCTTCTAGATCAAGAAAGCAAACATGGAAATTAAAAATGTGGTCATGGAGCAGTAAAATATAAAGAAAGGGAATGAAAAATTGTTCAACATAACACGAATCAAAAGGGATGGAATCCCATCCAATCTTTCGTGAGCAGAGATGTTAGTCTGACTAGTGAGCTATGACTTAAATTGCATGCGGACAAAGTTATAAGACGATTGGCAGTTGCAACGCACACTGAATGATTTCACAGACATGTACGAGACTTCTGGTGAGCAGCTGGAGAGAACGAGGGAAAGGGGATCTCAGGACAACATGAGACGGCTTCAGCAACCTGCTAAAGCATCTTACACGAACCATATCAGCATCTCGTACACCTCGACTGGCAGAAAGACAGGGAAAACATGAAACATTGAAAGGGGGGATGGCTTCCAACGGAGGTGTAAGCCACAAGATTGCCAAAATCAGAACCTTCCCTGATCTGCAGCTGGGGGTTATCACGAAATTGGAAACGGATAGAAGAAAGATTTCAGGAATATAATGAGTATTCATGATAATGTCCGCTTACTGATGCTCCAAGTGTTTGACAAAAGGCAACCAAAAGGCTCAAAGGAATATAGAAGACTGCAGACCAGAAAATTAGAGACGTGTCTCATTGAAATCTTTCCTTGATAGGCTGAAGGGACAGCTGATGAGTTGAATCAGATGCTCCCAGCATTTTTGCTTCTAGAGCAAAGAATATTTTTAACGTTTTTTGGAAAGGCCTGGTATTCAGCTATGGTACATGTGAGAATTTCTGAAAAAGGGAACCTATCGAGATGCACACATTAAAGTAGTTATCACTTTGAAGTCTTTATCGTTACACTTTACAGAATTTTGCATCGATCACCTTCCAAATAATAAAAGGTACTATCCCAGATCAAAAGAAAAAGGAAAGTTGAACTTACTGGACCCGTCTCCAAAACATTCGAAATTACGTCTAAGGCTAATGAAACAATTCTCTCTGACAAGGAATCCATCTTCTGCAAAACCACTGGTGGCAATTTAGGCAACGATAGAAATAATGGTGTACAAAAATCAAAAGCTAAAAGGTGCAATACTAGATGAAGAAATGAAATCCCAAACTTAGAAGAACTATGATGCAAAGAAAAACTAAAAATGTTTTCTTGACTATAGTTGTGTTTCACAAGCTTTTAATATAAATGATGACCCAGTAAACTCCACTGAAATAACACCAAATGTTCACAAACCTTAAAGCTAAGTTGGGTAACACTACAATGCACTGTAGAAGAAAATGATAGTTGCCCGTTTCTCATGGAGCACCAGGATTTCAGCGAAAATCACCTTTTTCAATAAAATAAAACTTGTCTAATTCCTCTATTTGTTTCCATTTGGGTTGAAGCCCTGAGTTAACTACTATCACAGAAGCCTAAAATATGCCGATATGACCTTACATTTATTTTTTTTAAGAAAAATTATCTAAAAAAGTTTCCTGTAGAGAGAGGATTGATCGCATCCCATTGCTCAGTCACTGCGAGAGATTATGTTGAACTGACTAATTAAAGCGCAAACCAAGGTGCCAAGGGTGGATCGTGGGTGCTTCTGCTTCTTGGTGTTAAGTCAGTGTCAGCTCAAATAAAGGGTAAAAGAACATTGAAACAGAAATCCCAACAACCTGGTTGCGATGAAGGTATCAATGCTTGTTGGAGGTTAGATGTGGACAGGCAGGTGGCTTCATACACCCAGGTAAAATCAGAAAACGTCATATGATCAGTTTATGTTCATGCAGGCTGCAGACTTTTACATCTATTGGCTAACATTAGTAGCAAAGTAGACGGATCAAAGGAGCTGAAGATTTTCGTTTCAGTTTAAGATGGCGATGAGACATTTGATTACTCCTGAAAACACAGGTAGGCTAAGAACTGCTATGTCCCATGTTGATTCACTAGGGAGTACAGCTGCTTGAAGATAGACAACATGGGAAGCATGACAGTGGCTGTTAAACTTACAAAAATTGCAGTCTATCTTCTTCATCCACTACCAATGGAAACAAATCAGCAGTTTGAAAAGCCATGTCGATCTTTAGTATAGGGAGGATGGCTCTCCCAACAGACCAGAGCTTATGAGGTTGTCTTCACAGCTATTGATTCTCAATATAGAAAATGTTCATTTGGTAGATGGATATAATCCAGGATGAAAGAATAATTGAGTCTGGGACTAAATCAAAACGAGCGGCTAAAGTTAAAGGTTAGGCACACAAATCAAATATCATGAACAGACTAGATTCAAAATAGCAGTGTCAAACTTCCTATGTAACCTATTTGTCAGAATGTGGATATTTCTATTCAACAAAGTAGTATTATTACATATAACAACATGACCCTTGATTTGAAATTAGCCCTTATGCTTAAAAGATGGCACTATTTAATCCACTGTGAGAGACATGAGAAGGGCAACCAAAAGGAAAAACTTACATTAATATTAGCACTATGCCTTGCTATTTTGAAAGCCGAGTTAATGATATATGGCATCAACCTAGGAACGAAGACATTTTTTGTAAATGAATTCAAGATACAAGGACATACCACAATGAAATGAAAGCTTAATACAAAACAACAGGTTACTTGTCAGAATGCTTCCGATGCCTTGTCACCAAAGTACAGAGAATAATTAAGCTCCTCTTTCCAGCTTTCAACCTTAGAACATGTGCATCTCCCGACTTCTTATTAGAAAAGTCCATAGAATCCAAAATTTTGAATAGCCCCCGACAAGATGAAGGTAAAATTGGGATAAATGCTGATGGCATATATGATCTCACCTGCAAGACATTATTTTTAGACTAAGTGCATCAAAAATTTCACAGAAAAAATAGACTCTTGTGCACGTAACTTGAAACTATTAAACCCGATCTCAACAAAAATGTCCGGTTCGTCTCCATTTTTGTGAAATTATTACTCAAGCAAGGCAGCCGATAAGTCATTGAAGGCTTTGTGTGAATCATGGAATGGTAAGCATGACTCATTTTAAAGTGTCCCCATGGTGATCTAATATATTTTCAAGAAAATGAAAGGTTGAAGATGAATCTCGTAGCTAGCAGCATGACAATATGCTTCAATCAGAAAGATAACAGATACCTCGCAGTTATGATGTTAAGCTTCATCGAATATCCACATGAACAGAAGGCAGTAACATGGTGTTAGACAAAATCAAAACAGAAGACATTATATAAGAAGGCCTTCTAACTGCAATATAATCTATTATCAAGCTCAAGAAACATGCTATTCTTTTATCTGTACGGACACACAGACACATGTATGAAATCACAGTAAAAAAAGGTTATAAATAAAATCATTTTTTATGTCTTACCTCGAAATATCAAAACATGTTTCGTCCATATGTCAAGGAACTTTTTCTCTCCTTGCTACTCAATTATATAAGCCCCACTCCTACCCCGTCAAACCATTGGGGCATGATAGAAATTGACTAATACTAACATACCACGGTCAAAAAGTAGAAGTCAATTCAAATGAGGACGGTTAGGCTACTTAAAAATGAGTTTCCTAGAATCAGCCGACACCAACATTTGAATGTGAGCAAAGGGAAAAATAGTAAGTGTACTGGCACAGGTTATTTTGGACCTGAAGATCAGAAGAGCGTATTGAACACAGCATGCCTAAATAAAACTAGAATTGCGAATTATCAATTGGTCTGAACATTTAAAATAGCACTCTCCTGTCTGTATTCCCCTGATCCATCCTTCAAGACATTGGCTGACCAAGATTAGGTTATCTGATCAAGGATCAAACTTGTATACATTCATTCATAGATGATCCATACCTGTTCTAGGTCAGGATCAAACTCGTACACAATCATACAGGGAAAGTTCGTGCCTATTCTAAGCCAGGATCAAACTTATATCCATACATAAAAGGACGATTTATGACTATTATAAGCCTGGATCAGACAGCCGTGACTCAAACTGATAGCGGTTTTATATCCTTGATTAAGATTTTAATCAAGTATTAAGTATTGGTATAAAATGCCCAATCACTGGTTAATGGATAGCTCATTTACTATTAGGATTATGACTACCATGCTTACTATATATCCAAAGTTTGACAGGAAAGTCTTGTCAGTCTGGAAAAAAATAGATAACTATGTATGGAACAAGAATGGGCATGTTCCATCTGCAATGGACTATGAGAATGGTAGGAAGATCTATATATTTCTCCCATATGTGATTTGGCTTCTCCATTGAATATGAGAATTGTGAAGTGGATATGTTTAAACAAGAAACTACAAACGGTTGATCTACTCACTTAATGTATCTAGAGAGAATGAGCTGTCACTACATTACTTGTTTGGTTAAAGCCTATTTTTGCTGACAAAGTTTAGACAGTTTACAGAAGACTGGAATACAGTGCAATCTACTTGGGGTAATGGGGTAATAGAGTGAATATTTGTGGCTGATCAAAAAGTTTAATAGCCTATCCACAATGCAAGTTTTTTAGGTATTTTAGACAAAAGGAAGAGTGAAAATTTTCAGCAGCATAGAACTTTGCCAGAAAAGGTGGTCATTACCCTCTTTGCTGGACTGAGATGGTGAACTAAGAGCCTCTCCATAAGTACACTGTTCCTCAATTTTAGCATGGTTTAAATCTTAAAATGGTCTACGCCATTTTGGTCTAAACCATAACATGTCATCAAAAATATACAGAAAGTTCTTTGGAAAGTTTACTGACATGAATATAAGGGGGGGCCAATGGAGCAGAACAGGCCATTATCAAGGCGAGATGAAACCAGAAAAGCACAGAATGTTCCCTCCACAAGTACTTATAAGAGAGAAGGAGAGAGAAGAAGGAAGAAGGGGGTGAGAGAGATATGGGTTGCCATGTGGGTAATCGTGGGACATCCACATGGCAAGAGAAAAAAGATTCATGCTTCTAAACCTAGCCCTATCAAACCCGAGGCCAGGTCAGTACAGGCTTATTTTCTTTTTGAGGTTGATTTTAATACCCCTGGCAAGCAAAAACCTGGGCTGAGCTGTTAGGAGCCCCAGGTTACCTAACTCCTTTCAAAACTTATGAATATTTATCGACGTTACAAACAAAAACTTATCAATGTTCTAATTTAACGTACTTAACTGAAAATATTTATTGCATAAAATAACCCTCAAAAATCGAAATATTAAGTTAAATAAATGACACTTCTATTATGCAAAAAATATAATCCTTTATCAATAATTTCAGCACATTCAATGTTCCATCATTTTCCTCAATTTCGTATCAACATTTCCATCCTAACCATTTGAGCCTCAGTGACTTTTTGTCTTGTTCCTTCATGGAAAAAACAGAGTACGCGATATATCATCAAATATTGCCAGTGAGAGCAACCTGCGAGAGCTACTGGAGTCTTTACTTTGCAAAACAAAATATATATATATACAGATAGCAAAGAGACAAATAATTGGAGGAACCTTACAGTGAAATACAAGCACTTGCATATGGTGAGAATAATTTGATCAATTTCCTGGCCACTGTCTCCTTGGAATGATACAGCCTGTCAAGCACATTGTTGATGTAGCCAAAACAGTGAATAAAGGAAATAAAACAAGCGAAAAACAAGGATATTTCCTCCCCTCTTCAACCTTATCAATGAAATAACAAAATGGTGCTTGCAGTGGCACAAGTATTTCCTTCGTTATAAGTTCCAACTGTGGGGGCACTGGCTCCTTAGGAAGTCTTGGATTCAGAAAGTACTGAAAGATTTCAGCAGCACAGTAAGTTTCTACTTGTCTTAAAAAGTTTCACCATTGAAAGAAACGAACAAAAATAATTGTTTAACGGAGTATACCGGACATTGACATGTTAAGTTTGAGAAAAGAAAACCGTCCAGAGAAGCAACTACATCACAGGATGCCGCATAAATAACAAATTGAAAAATGTTGGAAGTTTTATCCTAATCTACTCCAAGAAAAAAGATCATAGAATCAGAATAAATATGCCAACCATTGTCATTTATCTTCTCTGCCCACAAACTTTATACAGTGAGCATTGGCAAGATCAAACTTTTCCCCACTAAATAAATGAAAGTAGTCTAGTTCTTCAAATTTACATTTTAAAATAAAATAAATGTATACCTCAAATGAGTCAATAATCGACTTATCATAAAAGCCTCCAAATCTCCAAATGGCTATGGAAGGAAATAATAAACAGCTATATAAGCTACTGAAATCTAAACAAGTTTAAACCAACTAAATAGCGTCAACAACTGAATATAAATCTCAATCACTGCCAATATGCTATCAATAAGATGACCCACAAGAATATATAATACACATTTGAAGATTAAAATTAATGGGCCCCCAGTATTGGCATACCACACGAGAAACTGAGGGCGTATAACAAAGCACAAACCTCAACAACAGCAGATTATCAAAATGGCAAGTTGAAGGCAAAAGCATAATAATAAGTTATCTAGTGAAAATGTAGTTTCCTTGAGCAGATAATAAAGGAAAATCAACTAGAAAGACAATGAGGAGATCACAGTTTCTGAGAGCACACCTGGAAGGGCTTGACAATGGATTTAAGAATTGCAAGTGTATTTATGCTCTTCCATTCAGAATCACAGGCACTAATAAAGTTACTTTTCTGGACGACAATCTTCAGTTCGGGCACAAGTTCTGGCCATATATTTTTCTCGACAAAGTCCTTGACAACAACAAAATGTAACTGCAAAATCACATTTCAATGAATGAAGTCATTCTTTGCAAAGTGGCGGAAAAGATATGGATTTAAATATTCAACTTCACCCAAAATATTAAAATTCACCCAACTTCGACATTGAAAGGAGAGAATGAAAAGGTATCCAAAAAAAATACAAATTGATAAAGATTCAACGATGATAAATCTAGATAAAGAATTGAATATCAGACAACCATTTCCAGTTGAATCGAATGATAGCAGACCAGAAATCAAATAAAGAGGAAATGTGAAAATACTACAGGCAACATCAAATGGGATAAAGTTAGTCTCTAAAAGCAACCACAATCTGAAATGATGCTTCGTAGTTTCAAAACCCCAGAATACTTATTTCCGGCTGGACACGACAGAATACTCGTAGTGTTGGATCACAGATACGTACAGCCTCAACCAAAACCTTTAGAACCGCAGGTTCACTTTGAAGCACTGCCTGGACAAGCTGATTCCTGAACTTACAATGAGCTTCAGGAGGTAAATTGTCACTCCCCATCAAACGTTTTGTGAAGTTCTTTAGATAAGTTGCCGCCGCTATCCTCTGCCCGTCGCTCTCACCCCCTGCACGTACACATTATAGCATTGATACCAAAAAAATCCCCAAAAGAACATCAAAATGGCAAGTCGCCTCTGCAATTAGACACCTCCAGTCAAACAAACAAACACGAATTGCCTCATAAAAAATTCCAGTTCCTATTTTCGACTTATTGATGGTAATAAGAATGTTGCCAGACGATTTGCAGAAGCTGAGAAACAAGCTTTCCCGCACCTGTAGCTACAGCAATGAGGGCCGGGCCGAAACCCGGCGCTCCCGAGAGGCGGACGAGGCCCTCCGTCGCCGACGAGATGAGCCTCTCCTCCGGGGCAAGTGTGTCATCCAGCAGGCGGGCGATTTCCGGGACCAGGGCCTCCACATCCATCTCCCTCACCTGCTCCACCCTCCTTCCCTCCTTAACCCTAGAGAAGCTTCTCTTATACTCGCCGGCTCAGGGTTTTATACTAACCGGAATGTCCGAAGTGCTCGTGGTGGGAAATGAGACCAACTTAACTTAGAGAGAGAAAGGGAGAGAGCGAGAGAGAGAAAGGGAGAGAGCGAGAGAGAGACATAGAGACAGAGTCTGACTCGGTACGCACGGCGCGAATGCAAATCCAATCATGTGACGACGTGGCGCTGCTGAGTCGATATTTTCTTACAAATATTAAAAACAATTAATTAGCTCGATTATGTGATGCCAATTTATCTGTCATTTTCATCCGACATGTCTGCCCGGCTTCTCTTCGCTTCTAGGCAGTTCCAGATGACGTGGACAGTGACGTGGCATTTTGTCCAGATCTACCAGCTAGACCGGATATGTGAATCTGAAAGAGATTCCCCTCCTCCACGCGGCACTTCTTAAGATCGACACGACGACGACTTTCATCCGTTGCATCCTCTCTCCGGCCTTTCCTCCTCCCTCGCTCACTCATCTCAGCCTGTCGGCACTGGTCTCTCTCTCCTCCTGCAGCTTGTCGGCGACCTCCATGGAGGACTGCCTGCCCGGCGGCACCATCTTCTTCACCACCGTCGGCGTCCAGCTCTATGGCTTCGACGTCTTCTCCGTTCCCGTCGGCGCGGCTGCCGGCGACCGACCGCCGGAGACCCGCCATACCGACGGCGTCTCCGTCAACTTCAACGGCCAGTTCCTCGAGGACGACGACCACCTGGCCGTGGCCTTCGTCTCCGAGAGGTCCGGCTCCGCCCGGCCTTTTCTCGCGCGGATGGGCCGGCCGGAGCCGCTCCCCCACTTCCCGGAGAGTCTCCGCCACGACCGTCCCGTGGTCCGCAACGGCTTTGTTTACCTCGTTTCCGCCCATGAACGGCCGGCGGGGGGGCCGTTCCGGAGCTGGTCGGTTGTGTACTCCGCTCCGGTCGACCAGCTGGGGGCGGTGCCGGAGCGACTTACTCCGGCAGGAACCGCCGACTTCAGCCCCGACGTCTCCGCCTCCGGCGAGATCCTGGCTGTGGCCACGTATGGTTCTTGTCCCTGGAAGGGCGACTTCTACGAGCTGCAGACGGAGGTGGTCGTGTTCCGGCGCTCCGAACCTGCCAGGCGCGTGCCCGTCTCCGGCGGCCGCGGTGGCTGGCCGGCCTGGTCCGGTGACTCCACGGTGTTCTTCCACCGCGTGGCGGAGGACGGCTGGTGGAGCGTGTTCCGGGTGGACATCACGCCGGAGCTCGGCGTGGTCGGACCAGCGCGTCGTGTGACGCCGCCGGGGATCCACGCGTTCACCTCGGCGGCCTCCCGCTATGGGAACCGCATCGCCGTCGCCACCCGCCGCCGGGAGTCCCAATTCCGCCACATCGAGCTCTTCGACCTCAAAACCGAGGAGTTCCTCCCCGTGACGGCTTTGGTCAAACCGGACTTCCACCACTACAACCCTTTCCTCTCTGACTCCGGCGACCGCCTCGGCTACCACCGGTTCAGGGGAGTGGCGGCTGCCGGCGGCGACTCCGTCGTCCCCAATCTCTCTCCGGTGGTTAGCCCGGCGACCGGGCTCAAGATGGCTCGAGTGCATGGCTCCTTCCTTCCCGGCGGTGGCCTCTTTTTCAGAAGCCCGCTGCCTTCTACACTTCCTGGAACCCCGCCGAGCGCGGAGTAATCTACACCTCAGTAGGCCCCATCTTCCAAGGTCCGGAGGTGACCGTCCAGATAGCCCGCGTCTCCTTCGATCCGGCCAGCCTTCACCAGGTCGCCGTCGGCGACCTGGTCCCCTCGGAGCTGAAGATCCTCACCAGGACGGACGCCGGAAACAACGCATTCCCCTCCTGTTCGCCGGACGGCAAGTGGATCGCTTCCGCTCCGGCCGCTCCGGCCGGAAGAACCTGTACATTATGGACGCCACCAAGGGGGAGACCGGCGGCGGGGAGATCCGCCGGCTGACGGACGGCGATTGGATCGACACGATGCCTTGTTGGTCTCCGGACGGCGAGCTGATCGCCTTCTCCTCCAACTGCCACTCTCCAAAGGACCCCGAGGTCTTTGGGCTCTACCTGGTGCGGCCCGACGGGGAGGGTCTCCGGCGAGTTCCCGTGGCAGGGCCGGAAGGCTCGGAAGAGTCCCGGAGAGAGCGGATCAACCACATATGCTTCAGCCCCGACTCCAAGTGGCTGCTCTTCACGTCGAACATCGCCGGAGTGGTGGCGGAGCCGGTGGGGCTTCCGAACCAGTTCCAGCCCTACGGCGACCTCTTCGTTTGCAGGACGGCAGCGGGCTCCGGCGGCTGACTTGCAACAGCTACGAGAACGGCACGCCTACTTGGGTGGAAGAGAGAGAGGACTTGGCCGTGCACGTCGGGGGGCTGTCCTTGGGTGGCGTCGCCTCTGGAGACAAACTTAGGGGCCAGTTTGTGGAGCCTCTATGGCTAAATTGTGAGCTCTAAAAACCTAAGAATACCATGTGTAGTATTTATTTAAATACGTTCTTGAATATTTAGAATTTTTAAACTGATTTAAATATTTTTTATGATAATTTTGGAGACTGTTTACTCACAAAAAACATTAAAATTTGACCTATTCATTTCGGTAAGATTGGCTTTTTTCAGTCACTATATTTTTTTTCATACGCCTTAAAATAAAATACAAGGTGATTTATCAAAATAAATCATTAGGAGGTGTAGTGGATAATTCATCAATATTGACGATAATAATTCCATATTATTATGTTTTAAAATAATTTCACTTTTTTGTTTCATTTTTAAAGTACTTAATGTAGACTAATTACATGGGCACTTATGGAAGAATAATTTCAATTTTCTTTGATATATATTATTTTGAATAAATGTTTATAAAGCAATAATTCACGTTCAAGGTATGAAGGTTCTATCTCCAAAAAACTATGTTGTGATCCCAATAGAGAAGAATCTAGACTGATAAAAAGGTGGATGTAAGGGAGAAGTTCATTGCTGATTGTGTGGTCAGCATGTACATGGCAGTGGCTTGAAGACAATTAACTTGGTTACCAAACTAGAGAATGCACCGCGCAGATGAAAAAACCCACCAGCAGAGAGAATGCCCTTGGTGGGGAGAGAGAGAATGGGAGGGGGGGGGAGAGAGAGAGAGATTAAACATGAAACAAAATAAAGTATTGCTTTTTAAGGAAGGTTAGTCCTTCAGGGAATGCAAAATAAAATCCAAGCCTTATAGGTAGATTGGTCATCAATGGCAAGGGCAGTGAAAGATATCTTATGCAACATGAGTACTGTTTTAAAGTGCTACAATGATGGAGATGCTCCAACGATGAACATACGATGGTTTGCTTGCTTCAAGGTAATCTATACATGTTTAGGCCTACCAGCAAGGCTAGTGACAGTAAAATCAGAGTGGTGGATTTCAAAGGGTATGGACAGCATGGAAAGTGAAATAGATCTGTTTCAGACGTCTAGGTAGATAGGTGGGTAGAACTCTCCAAGATCAAGAAAGCAGACATTGAAATTAAAAATGATTTCCAATGTGTCACATATGAAAAGATTTCGGGAAAGAGAAAGAGCTCGCGAAAGAGAAGGGAAAAGATTTAAGAAGCATGCAGCATTGTGTGTAAGTTTCAAGGTTTTTGTCGAATGTTATTAATATATTAAGATCATTTATTAAACAATGTGTCGATACAACTAGTTAAAGCTTAATGATCGTCATCTAACAAGGGCGTTGGATTCATCACACGGGAGAAGATGTCACACCCCTCACTTAACAAAGCAAGGTTCCGCCTAAGGAACTTAAGAGCATGCATGACTGCACAAGAGGAGTCATCCGGGAAGGTTCCCCTGGCGGGTGTGTCAGCAAAACATGGTACCACATGCTTAGGAGAGAATGGTGACACTGTATAGTACATCCGGGAAGTGCAAGGCGTGTATAGATAGACAATTGAGTTTGTTGGTGAAGGATGAGGTTCATCAATGCATCTCATGATCTTTGTTGGCTGCTAGAATGGTCCGGCACAATGTTGGTACAATAGCAATACAAGGCTGGGCAAGGTTCATGTGGGGTTCCTATGAAGCTTGGCAGCTGCTAGCATAGTAACAACCTACCAAGGTCCCAAGGGAGCATGGTACGGTGCAAGCATACATGGAAAGATGCTATCATGCCGCAGTTTTGTGGTGGTGTGGGGTCATGGCATGAAGGATAGCACACACGTGCCTAGGATGGGCAAGGCACACATCTTGCTAATGAAGTTAGCCTGCGAGGTTAACTAAGCTAGCCCATCAACCTCACTAGCAGCACCCACTATGAGAACTTGCATCGTTAAGCAATTCTCATGGGAAAATAGATTAATCAGCAAATCCCAATGATACTTGAGGGATATTTATCATGTTTCACGCTATTAAGACATTCGTCAAGGGTGATGGGGCCCTAACCTGTCAAAGGTAGTTTGGTGATTTGCCATCATAGGCTCTCCCAAATAAATAGGAGTGTGAGTAGTAGATGGGGTGCTCCTTCCTCCTATTAGTGTTGCTTTGAGTTAGAAGATTTATCTCCTTTAAATGGCAAACTTATGTGTCCCTAATGAGGAAGAAGATTACATGGGCAACAAGTAGGCATTCAAGACCGCACATGAGGAGGAGCTTCGCAAAGTATGCCCACTCTACCCATATGGGAATGTGTTTCTCGCATCTTAGCAAAGTGCCAAAGTCTATGGAGAGTGAAACTTTGGGTCAGAGGATCTTCAGATAGTAAGAAGGTATGACCCCAATGGTCATCATGATAAAAAGTGTGAAGCCCTACATCCAAGAGATGGAGGAATGCTTGGATAATGCCTAGATGGCTACAAGTGAAGCCATTGCGCACTCCACTTCCACTTGGGCTGAGGATCTAATGCTAAGGAGCTACATGAGATAGTGGAAACCCTCGCTTTGAACATGGTGCTGATTGAGGGTTTATCTCCTTCTCCTTCTACATGGTATTAGAGTAGGTTGATCCCGTCGCTACCGCCTTTGCTTGAGCTTGCCATATGCCATCCTATTTTCCGTTGTGCTACTGTTACTGTTGTTTGAAGATGAGGCTTTGTCTTCCACCACTGTTGCCTTCGCTTGAGCTTGCCGAACATTGTCTTATTTTCTTTCAGTTTGAAGAGGAGGCTTTATCTCCCACTGTCGCCACCTTAGCCTAAGTTGACTGGATGCTAGCTTATTTTCTGCTGTCTTGTAGCACCTACTAAGCACTAGCATTGCCTCTCCCCACGCCTCCATAGGCATTGCTGTTGCTACTTCTTTCTAGCTTCAACATCAGTTGCCTTTCACGGAGTCAGAAATTCTTTCGATGTCTTCATCCATCTCTACCAACTATAGGTAGCCTATCGGCACTTCTATCCCCATTGTTCTTATTACATCGATGAATCCACTTTTTAATCAACTTCACAGTCCGAGTCTACCTCTCACCGAAGACAATACCAATTATCATCAATGGGTACATAATTTTCATCATTTCCTTAGCATTCATAGCTATCACCAATTTACTACGAATTTACTGTCGCTCGTTGGTGACTCCAACCTATCTAATTGAACAGTGAAAGATGAGATAGTCCAAGCATGAGTTCTTAAGATGGTTACTCCACAACTTGTTGGGACTATCGAGTATTTAGATACAATTAAATAAATGTGAGACAAGCTCTATCATTTGTTAAGTTTAAAGAGAGCATCAGTCATATAATGGATATCTTCAACAATCTTATTAAACTGTGCAGCACGTCTAATAATACACTAAAATTACTCATTAGTTACTTTAAAGTGAATATATTTTAGGATCAAATATCTTATTTTAGCATGTTATCATATATAAAATAGCCAAATAATAACTTTATAATGATTCTAAGAATTTTTCCTATTTTACAAATATTCTCGGATTTTTTATGACTTTGTTTTGAATTTATTTTGATATATTTAAGTCATGAGGATATTTAAGTAATTTAGGGAAATATATACATATATATTATTTCACACATTCTAGGGGTTTTTCTGCAATTTTCCGTAGTTAATGACACGTGTCAGTTGCTGGATTTTTATATCTATTTGACGCGTCGTCGTATGTGAATGCGCGGCGGCATGATTATTTAAATTCATGAATATTTTATCAAGCCGCAATTACGGGGAATGCAAAAAGACGAGGTATCGCACGCGAAAGGCAAGAAGACGTTGACCGCCTGTTACGTCTCGTCACTGAAAAGCGGTTATGCACGCTCTCCCACCAAAAACGGCGGTTAAGCACATTTGTCACCGTAAGCGGCGGTTAAATACGTCTCTTCTCAACCGTCACCTTTCGGTGATCTTTTTTCAACGGCCCAGATTTTTCCGTCTTCTAGGATCGGTATCTGACGATCCAGAAGTGGTTTCAAGCCCAAAATTTGTGGGCACGATCTTCAGGATGTCCTCTTCACATCCCCACATTCTGATCGATAAATCAGCTTCAATAAGGTTGTGAAAATGAAGGAGAGGAGCTAAAGGTATTTTGAGAATTTTTACTGCTTATATGTATTTCATTCACCCTCTTTCTTTCTAATCTTTTTGGAATGAGCATCAACAATGGTTGGTTAGAGTGAAACATTTTTTATTGTAAAGATTCATTCTTCTTCCCCTTCTATGTAATCTTGAGTGATTAGAAAAGACTTTGAGGGCAAAGTTGAATGTTGGGGATCAAGTTGCAAAGAATAAAGTGCTAGAGATCAACCTATCAAAGTAAACTGTGTAACCTTGGTGATAAATAAAGGCTTAGGTTGAGTAATCTTTTTCCATATGCTTACTTATTTCTTTTCCTTCTTCCTTTGGGTGAAACCTAAGGTTTTAGATATTCTTAGTAGTTACATTATTTCTTGTCAACCTTGACCACTATTTCTTATTGAAATACTTTTAAAACTTATTTTCTACACCCCCTAGGTCAACCATAATCTATGATTTCCTTCATTACATCCTATTTCACTCATATTTCTCATCTCCCACTCATCTCCTATCTCTCTTTCTCTTGTCTATTTTCTAACTTATTTCTTCTCATTAATTAAGATTTCTTAAGATCATTAATTTTTTCCTTATGGTTCATCCCCTATCTTACCATCTCTACTTATTAGATTGATTACAAGATAGTAGAAACATAAATAATTTTAGATAACTTGACTTAGGATCTACGACATCTCAAGTATCAAGTTATCAATGACATTTCCATGGCATTCTAAGTATCTTATACTGATGAAGCTTGAGAATTTGTTGGATCAATATCAATTGATTTTCTCTAATCCGAACGTCAACTAACATTATCATCTAAAGTTATTAGTGATTGACTATCTTGACTCTATTGATCCGAGTTTGGCCAATCAAGTCAAAGGCTCAATCTTCAATGGAGTTACTCCTCCCACTTTAGAGGAAACGTTTAATGTTGTGTAATGGATCGCTCCAATATCGAC